TTATGAGAATTTTTTTTTATCAAATTTGCATTCATTTCATACTAAACTATTACATAAGAAAAAAAAACACCTTTTTACCCTCCCTGTAGCAGTTAACCTAAGTACTCAGTTAAACTAAAGCTTTTTAAATAGGGAATGAATGTGATATTGGAGACATTTTAGTGTACATCCAATCAGGCAAATGGAAATTTACTTAGTCTACAGGTTTGCTGTGGCGGGAGTATTTTGTTTACCTCCTACTAAGCTATCAACATTTCAATAAAAACACACCTCAATACCTTCCTTGAATCAGCAAACCTAGGTACTCATTAAAATTAATATTATTTAAATAGGAAATAAATCTGACAATTTTCAGGGAATATTTTAGAAGAAATCCAGCCAGGTAAAAGGAAATTTATTTAGTCTGCAGCTGCGGCGAGGGTTCCTGTGGTTATACAGTACTGCATGCTATCTACAAAGCATATATGATGATTTCTATAAACAAATTTATTATGTACCCGACTAACTATTATCATCTACCAAATTCTATGTCTAGAAATGGGTTAAGATTATGGGGTCCCAAAATCCGGGGTAAAATTCCGGCCCACACACTCTAGATTTTATAACTTAGTTTGCTATGATTCAATTCAAAGCCGGATGCAAAACCATTACACGGAGTTGGCACAGTTAAGCCTTCGAGGGGTATCTGTAGACAAAAATAGACAGGATCAGACGTGTAACATGTGATGTTCCTAAAGAACCATTTACTTCCGAGCAGAAGGATTTGCTCGGAAGTAAAAGGTAATCATTATTAATACGGTTTGAAGGATATGCTTTTACTTTTACCTTTTATTAGAAGCAAATGCTTTTGCTTCATACCTTTTCCTTTTGAGCATATCCTTCTTTTTATTAATACGGCTCAAACACGTACTTTGGTCTGCAGCATTATCATGTGACCTAAAGTAATGGTGAATGTCTAGATTCCAACCCGGGCCGTCAGGGCAGAAGTTTAGTCCTAAATATGGCGCTTTATAGTAATGTAGATCAATCACGCCCCCTGGTTACATAATGCATAACAATAATTAACCGTGTGTAGTAAAATGTAGCAATTACTACCGTGTCTATCTTGCTGCAGAGTAATTGCTTCTAGTCACATCACGCCTTTGTAAACATCGAAGGTCGTGTAGATGCGTTATTGCAGTTGCACCGTCCTTGCGAGTCTACACGTTCTGCTACGAGTCTGGAGTATGAATCACAGACTGCGTAGGTTTTGTAAGGGGCTTTCAGCAAATATCTTTTAATTTGTTTTATTTTCAATCATCCGCTTTTGGGGGTTCCGAGTCACCCTTTTTTAAATGGAAAGCAAGACTTTCTCTCTTGAGTTAATTGAATTTAAATACTCAACGTGGTTTTTAATGCTTAAAATTTAAAATTAAACTAACCATCATTCATCAATTTCCTGAATTATCTTATATAAAACATTATCAAATATTTGCGATTAAATACTTGATTACACGGTATAGCATTAAGTAAAACTAGACTAGACCATAATTAAGTCTAACAACATAAAACTCTTTCATTTATCTTAACATCGTAGCAATCGACCTTTTAGGAATACGTGAAATATCACAACTTAAACATACACATCTCCCAAAAGACATGTTATATTATTTTTTATTTCACTTATGATTGCGTAATCGCGTTGTGTTTTATTCGATTTTCACGTCCGTCAGTACACTGACCTCATTGTGATTTCGGATCTCTTTTGACAAGACTTTTCTGTAGACCTTGGACGAGGCGAAATTAAATTGACGATTGTATTCAACAATGATCATGCAAGCCGGTCTTGTTGTCTCCTCAACAAATGCCTCAGGCTTGTAATTGGAGTACAATAGTTCCAGCGGAACCGTGCTCGCGGACCGTGCAGATAGACAGACAGGCGGAGTACCGACGCTGCGATGACGATGGTTGTTGGTCACCGGAAGTATATGGGGTGACGTAGATAACATCGGCACACGCCGTACTTAGCATACCGCGAATGCGAAGCGAGTGATATTATCTTGGTTTTGTGTTTAACTGAATGGAAGAGTTCCGGTAGCGCTTACTATTCTCGAAATTCCATCGGGTATGATGGGGTTTTAGAGTAAAACGTATTTTTGTTTTTGTCTAATTATTAGGATTGTACAACACAAAAATCCATTTATCTTTTGCTTCTTTCTTTGCGTCTTTCGTTTTTGTTTGCTTTTTGATGTACTGTTGGTTTGTTCTGTGTAAGGCGATGCTAAACATTTGGTTTGGATAGGCACGGAATTTTTCTCAATGGAGTTTAATTTCTATCACGTAATTTACGTGATGTACATGTGATTCTGCGTGCTTTCTTTGATAAATAATTGGCGAACAACTTGTTATAGTTATGCATAATATCAAAAGATTTTTATTAATTTCACAAAATGTTTGTGTTAACTCTCTTAGATATTTATAAACTGATAACACTTTCGAAATAATTCAACATACCTATTAAATATGCCAAGATTAGTTTTTACTGTGGAGTGGAAGGTAAGAAGTTGAGGAACAAAAGATGTCATAAATACGCGCATTAGGCGATGTACGTGTTGGGTTTAAATGTTATGCGGAGGTCGCGCGTTTAGTGGGAGACTCCAACGATGGGTCGGGCCAGATAGCTCGTTATACATCAAAGTGTTCTTTTGTGTTCACATGACGTGATGTCGCAAATGGTGATTAAAGACAATATTCAAATCCTTGAATGTAGTTAACATAACCTCTGTCCTAGTGACCTTTTGAATCATAAAGTGTTATTTATAGTTGTTTAACCGTCATTTATGCCATACATTTTTTAGACTACATCTCTTAAATACTTGATCCTCTTACTTTTTTGCGTCTCTACGTCATTGTTATTTGTTTCCGTTTTTTTTTTTTTTTTTAAGGCAACAGTACAAACACTGGTATTATTACAATCGAACGTCGACCTTTTGTTAAATAGTATCATTACCAAATCATATAACATAACGAATCAAGTGTCCTTACCTTTACCTTTAGATGTAAAGACGAGCACTATAACGATTCCGCTACTTAAACAATTTCTTCCAAGACGTTCTAATAAATTGATAAATTGTCTTCTAAAGTGTCAAAGTACAGTAGCCCACTGTGAGTATTGTGTTGTAAAATTAATTTCAGCAATTCAGTAAAGAACAATAAAACCAAGGATAATACACCGAAGTATCTAAAATCCAATTGTCATGAAGGTTGGGCACTTATTATATAAACACTTTAACACATTTATTGCTCCATGGGCTGTAGAAGAGAATGAGTCATAGCTTCTATATTAAGGTGCAGTTACAATATCTGTTTCCAGAAATCATGAACTGGTAGAGAAAATCAATGCTTTGGTGAGGTGAGAGATCCTGTGGATGATGGTTCACAATAGGCTGGTGAAAACCGCTGTGTTGACTTGCACATTCAAAGCTTGGCTCTAAAAACGTATAACATGTACTACAGTATAGAATATGAAAGAGTTTGGTGTGGTGTGGTATGCAGGGCACAGGATGGATAGTGTGTTGTGTGTGTGCTGTGGAGCGTAGCTTGTCACCAGAGCTCCTGGTAGTGCTACCACTGGTAGACTGTGCTGAAGCTCCCACACTCTACTTGTCTACTTCCTGACACTCAGGTCAAGGTCATGAGAAGCTTCCTACTGTATATCTTGGTGTCTACAGTTGATTAAATACTGTAATTGTTAGTTCTCCATGCATGACTTCCTTTCAATATCGTAAGCTATCCATGGGATCTGGTATAAACATTTCGATTGGGCGAAAAAACAAGCAAATTTTTGCTGCAGAGGATAACATGGGAAGATAAATCTTCTGAAGTGTTGCTCCGATGAATTCAAAAGTGTATATTACAGTAATAGCTATGGATTTGTGTATGAATTTTTAATTAAAATACTTCACTAGTCTCGGTGATTTAGATGATAAAACAACTGATATAGGTTACATAAACGATATAAATGTATAGAAAAAAATAGAATGATCCATAGTATCTTTTTATTGAGGCTATATAAAATATAAAATCTTTAAAAAAGTGAAGTTGAATGTCATGTTGACAGTGGGGTATTTGAGGTTAGTGAATGCAGGTAGCAATATGTGGAACAGCACACTGTGATATGGTGGTAATTGCTAACTGCCACTATTGTACTGGAACTGCGGCCTACTTGGGCTGTCACACGCCTCTCTTCCTCACTTAGTCATGTACCTCATACGTGGCCTCGTAACTCAGAGTACTTCAAATCTCGCCTTGTAACTCAAATAGTCATACAGTACTTTATCTGCTGTCGTTGCTCTATTATTCATAGTGTACTTCCTATCTCTAACTGTTTTATGTTATTTTTAAACAGCTGATAGACTACTTCATATCCGTCCTTGTAACTCAAACACTCAGAATATCTCATATATGGCCTCGTAAGCAAAAAAAACAAAAAAAACAAAAAAAAATAGAATAGGCTACCTTGTACAAGTCCTTGTAACTCAAACAGTCATAGAGTACCGAATCCGTGACCACATAACTCAAACACTCATAGAGTAGCCTACTTCATGGCCTTGTGACTCAGGCCCGTGGTTTTCATGTGATGCGCTATGGACCCGAGAAATAATTGCGCCCTTCTCCATCTTTTGGGTGAATTTGTATCTTCCTTTTGCCGCAAACAAATCAAAAACCTCTAGCACCCCTGGGCCCGGGCCCACCAGGCCCATGAATTAAAGCAGCCCCTTTTGTGACACAAAACATACAGAGTACCTCATATTTTGACTCGTAACTCTTAACTCTATTATGACACCTCCTAATTTATTTAGAATTGTAACATCCTATCAATTTCAGAAAGAAATTAGGTACGAACGATGAAACAATTTCTTTGTGTAGAACACTCAAGTAGTTGGTATACATTTGAGATAGTTTAGTATAAATATAAAATTGTGGAAGATACTTTACTGACAGTTTACATGTGTTTGTAGGTTGGCTGATACCACTACTGGGTGCGGAGGAGCTGGGAGAGGCGTTCTTCAATGGCACAGGCTATGTGAGGATACAGCGGCCACTTACATTGTACCCAGGCCTACACATGGGTCTCAGCTTTCGCACCTGTCAGGGAGGACAACTGTTTGTACAGAGCAACCGACAGTACACCTTCAGTCTTGAGGTAACATATGTCTCTTGTTTATATCTGCTTGTGTTGGTCTAGTAGCGTTTAGGGTCTACTGTGTATATAACATCGTGTTAATTTATAATCAGACTCTTTCTTTTATTAGTTTATTGGAAATTGAACATTCCAAAACAAATAAAAAAACTAGCAATTAAGGTCCTCAATACCTCCTGTTTTTGAAAAATCCCAAGAGTGTAAAAACACTGTACAGTATTACAAAATAACCATCGGCTATGGAGAGTAGTAGTGCACCCCTTTCCCATGTGAAAGGTTTTTCCAGTTGTGTAGTAAAAGCAAATGTAGTAGAATTGAACAACTGACAGAGTATGCTGATATCAATTATTGCTCACAAAGTCAATGCTAATGATGTTTGCAGGTGATGAACAAGGAAGGTCTGAGGTTCCAAGTGAGCCATTCCACCGGTCACATGTACGATGCAAGACTGAAGGATGTGTTCAACAACAACCAGTGGCACTACGCAGCCATCATGCATCAGATTGAGAACATCACACTGTCGGCGGGACATCACCAAGTGGTAAAACCAGAGATATAGTAGCATGAATAATAATGGGTTAGTTCGACATCACAGGATGTGTGATACGTCATCGGAAATCGAAGACTATAAATTTTTAGTTTTAAAGTGAAGGAAAGTCCTTTGTTTGTTGCTCAAAGCCAAAGAAAGTTTTTGTTTGTTGCCAAAAGTCAAAGAAAGACGTTTTTATTTGGTATATCAAGCCTGAAACTGTTGTTGCCACCAAATATTGTAAAACTGGCAATCACATGTCACCCTTAGTCAATATCTGACTGTTTTATGTCGTCAATCCCCGATTGTCTAATGTGTATAACCCTCAAAGTCAAAGACTACTTCTTATGTGTTACAAAATACCCCATATTAATATTGATTTATAACGTTGTCCATGTCCCTAGATGCTGGAGTCTAATTATTGGCTTTTTGTGCACACCATTTGACCAACTAATTTCTCTTCTTTCAAAATAGTGTTTCCATTTTGAGCTGACGCAAATGTAAACATTCTTACGTGCTTACTTATATGGCCATTTACTCCAAGTTGGTATTTGGCCTCACCAACTAACCACCTCCATTTCTTTCGATCCTCTGAATCTTGTTCACCAGCTCTAAACCTACTAATATGCTTTGTTACTTCATATTTCCACATTTTTCCGTCCCTCTTCTGAGACCCCCTTTCTTCCATCTACTTAGCCATGTATGCTTTAGGCTTATTTTCCAATTAGATCAATGAATGAATGAATGAATGAATAAATAAATAAATTGTTTATAGGACAATATAAGAGACTAAGTTGTATTATAGTTGAGTAAATTTAGATTTTTTAAGGTTTACATTCAAATTTTTTCATGCTATATGTTTCTTTATGCAGGTCATTGCCAACTCCACACTAAACAGAGAGCTGCTCATGTCTGATCCTGTGATGGCTGATGACGAAGGCTACCTTCTCGTAGGCAGTGGGTTTGTCGGCTGCATCAAGGAGGGTCCCAACGTCGTGCTGCATGAGCGTAGCTCTCGTGTCACCTTCCAGAACGTAGAGTTTGGGAAGTGCCCTCTCACGCTGTGTAAGTCAAACAATCACTGATGTATACACAATTGCAGTAGGGCCTATAGAAAGGAATGATTCACACAACACTGTTGATTTGCCGATGGTAGTCAATTCTTTCTCTAATCAATGACTGATTAAAACGTAAAAATGTTGAATATGTAAAGGACAACCAGTTGGTTGTAAACAGGTTATATTTTGTATGTGCTATCTACAGGGTGGTTAAAAAAGAACTGACACATTTTAACGTACATTTTTATTTACAAAATTTTAACTACGTGGTAACATTTACATATGTACAGATAAAAAAACTCAAAAATTGTTTGGTGATATTCAGTAAATCTCAATATGGCCACTGTTATAAGGCTCTGTCGGCATTAACCATGCAATGTTAATTCTATCCCCAAGAAATGCAGCAAAGGTGTGTGAAGATGATGCGATGTGTACACGTTTGATTTAACGCCGGCATAGCCTTAATTGGTGGCCATATTGAGATTTATTAAATATCACATTTGAGTCTTTCTATCTGTACATATGTAAATGTTACCATTTAGTTAGAATTTTGTAAATAAAAATTTATTTTAAAATGTGTCAGTTCTTTTTGGAATTTTAGTATTCTCAAATCCTTTAAGTTTAGAAATAGCAAGTCTAGTAGCATTGATTTTATTTTGAACCACTATTTCACAAGCTATGCAATTTTTATTAAAATTTATCAGTTCCATTTTTCTATCAATATAAGCATTATTTTTTTTTATCTCCAGAAGGTGCTAAGTCCAAATTTTTTACCACAACTGACATTTTAACCATACTTTTTAGGTAACTCTCTAATTTAGTAGGATCTTTGTTTGATTTGCAGCACGTTTGCAGCAATTGTACAATGTTCTTAGAGTATTAGATAATAGTAAAAAAACGACCTATAAAATGCATTTATTTCTGAAAATTTTGGAATTATTCAATAGTAATTTTTAAGTAAATAGTTATAAAAATATATTACTAACAATCAATGCTGCAGTGGTTTTTATTTGGGGAGCACCAAGTGGCTTCTACAAACAATAAAACTTCACCAGCAACAAGCACCATTGCTAAAGAGCACATTAACAATTTCTCAATGCAGTTACATACTGTTACGCATAGCATTATTGTTTAGGATTAAATCGCACAGCACCAAATACAATACTAGTGAAGTGGTGAAATGGTCTCGCATGTTATTAAAATGTGTTATTAGTTATTTTTTCAAATGAAAATGTATTTTAATTCAGTATCATGTCATGAATACAGATCATTTCATTCTGCACCTACTTGAAAAATCATAGGATAAAAACACGGATGATTATTCTTAAATTTAAAACTGTTAATGCATGTGACTATTCGTGTTGTATTTTTTTCATTGGTTATGCATTTTACTTCCCCACAGTTGCATTTTAATTTCTTTTTCACTTATAAGTTAAAAAGTAACTAGTGTTTGTGTACGGGTATATTATTTTGGCATCCTCTTTGTGTTGTTTGTATTGTATGGGACTTTGTGTATCTGTGTGTGATTTTTCACTAGTTCTTTTAGTTTCAGTTTCCATGTAACGTGGTTACTCTTTGGTTTCCTTAAATCATTATGATGTTTGCTTTTAAAAATTTGGTGAAAACGGTTTAAGTTTAATGACGGTCTAATCCGGTTAAAAAACTGTCTAATGATACTGTCCTAAACGTAGCAATTGTTTGTGTTACCGGTAATTGAGATCCAAAGAAAACATAGTTGAACAAAGCCATTGAATAGTCATTTAATCAGTCTTTGAACCATACAGAACATTTTGTAATTGACATCGTCATCATAGTAAAAGGCTATAAGCTACAATACTTATATAGCCTACAAAAAATGAATGTGAAAAATTAAAATACTTAGAGGCTGCCTTTCATTCAACAGTACTCAGGTTTAAAAACAAACTTATGAATGAGATTGGGTCATATTAAAATTGATATTGGTTAAATCACAGATGTAATGGCCGTCTGATCAAACAAAATAAAACTTAAAATAAGAAAACTTTACAAGTAAAGCTATAACAATGAACATTGAGAGGTGAACAATATATAATCCCTTACATTACATATGTAATTACATATGTGGATGGCGTGGCCTAACATAACTTTAAGACATTTAAAATTGTGTCAACTGTTGCTGAATTTGAGTTTTTTATTAGTTTTGTGAGATCAGTTAAATTTTCATCGTTTTAAATCATTAAGTAGAAAGAAATGTAATTACTGTAATTGCAAGCCGAGCTCCTCTGGCTGTAAACTGTCTTTGCCTTTAACTGTGACCTAAAATACTTTTTAAATGTTTGTAGAGCATAAAATATCGATGCCCACTTAACTGTTTAATAAATATCAAATAGGTAGCTAAATATGGTTTAATTTTTTGTTTGTTTTGAAAGCAATAGCATACTTAGGTTAACCTTTGTTCAAATTGAGCTTTCCTCAATTCACAGATATAGCCCACAGGGCTTAAGAACTATTTTCCTTTTCAAATGTTACTAGAGTCCCCTAAATTCTGTAAATCACAAGTGTCGGTGTGACTAGTAGCGGCAACGGTGTGGCGATGAGTGACTGTAGTGCTATGTGAGAGGGCATGTTCGCAGGTAGCCCCGAGGACAGGTGCCACAATCAGCCCTGCATGACGCATGGTGTGTGCATTACTCGTCCAGACAACTATTACTGCCAGTGTAATGCGAGGTTTAGCGGCCGCAACTGCGAGGTGGACCATGGTGAGACAAAAACACCTCGGACTCTTTGCCACTTTTGTATATACGTTTCCAGGACAGGGTGTGAAGGTGCATGTACGTTTGGGTGTGGCTTGCGGACTAACGGAGCATTGGATGTCAGCGTTGTGACAACTTATTAGGAGTTTGTTTAAAACATGAGTAAAAAAAAGAGGTTTAAGATGATACACCGTCAGTTAGACATCATCCCTATAAAATGTATAGGACATCATATATGAAAAATATGTGTTTTACCACGATCCCCATTTTACTGTCTTTGATAAACAGATACATAATGCTGTTTGACTAGAATGTATCCCAGAAATCTATGGAATATGTTAAATGTTTTTCTAATTTGACTTGTATTTCTTAATGTCAATATTGTAGCAATTTCGACACTTGGTTAAAAACTGTACTCTGGAAATAAAAGCCAAAAGTATGATTGTGGCTGTAAACTTTTTAACTTGGCCTACAAATCTAATTAAAATGTTGACAGTAAGTAAGGGAAGTTTGAAATAAGTTGAGTTTGGGTCGCATTTAATTTGCTACTTGAACTGACATTTTATGTATCCAAATTCAATAAGTTTATGACTTATGTAATTGACAACTTTTTATGGATTTATCTTAATTTAAACGTTAAGTTGGTAGTCAAGTATCAAACCATTCAGGGGATATGCTCTTAAAAAAATGAATTTGTTTTTGCCAATGGCTTACCAATGACAATAGATATGTCAGTTGCATTGTATATTGAGGATGGTTGAAGTTCATATAATTATTAAATTAACTGTGTATTGTGTATTTATTAGTGTTAAACGCTATAATATTAAAAAACATAATTTTCTATAGTAAAAGACAAAAATCTAAGGATTTTCTTTTTGTTTTAATTGGGTTTGTATATTGTACTGTGAGTGGTTTACAATTGTGTTTCTGAGCTTGGACTGGGATTTTGTATTTTTCATGTAATGTTTTTAATACTTTCTCACATGAGGATGGGATCAAATCCCAGATTGGGAAACATGATGTAAACGTTGTTATTTACTAATTGTTGTGGAAAATGTCCACATCTCATTCATAGTTCTTTCATAGTTTGTAGGGAACTGATTGAATTCAAGAGTAGACGAATAAAAAAAGCTCTTTAGGCTATATAATGTAACAGTACTAGGACTTTAAAGCATAACATAAAGACTGCAAATACTGTAAAAGTGTACATGTAAAAGTAAGCAAAATTTATTTGTTGAAAATGAAAATCTACCAAGCATACTATGCATTGTTTATATGACTACACAAAACTGACACATTAGTAACATTTTCAGATAAGATATATTGATTTCTATAATAATGTAGCCTAATAAGTTATAAAAATGGAAGTGTAAGCCGATATAATAGTAATCTTCTTACTATAAAATTGTACTGCTACTCATCTGTTTTAGGTTTGGAAGCTCCCTTGTTGTCTCTATGTTACTACTGTTATATATAATTTTGCTGTATTCAATAAAATTTGCAGTAGTTGTCTTCATTTTTGCCTCTTTGCTACTACAGCATGTTTATAGAATAGACTGCTTATTTATTGCATGGCTTCTTGATAGTGGAATGTTTTTAGCACTATTAGCTCACAATTCTATTAATTTTAATTTAATCAATTAATTGTCATTTTATTAATGCCAGTGTTTTATTATGTATAACAAATGACCTAAATGATAACTTAATATTGGTTTATACCTTGTTAACACTAGCAACTGACCATGGACGTCCATCTTACTTTTCATAAGGGGAGCTGGGTAGTCTGGGAGGTACAGAATAGCCCCCAGTAAAGAGAGCAAAAAAATCAAGGCTGTTTTTCCCACACGGCGGTTTCCGGGTGTACAAGATGGTTGATTTTTTGTTCCAAAATTTGCGTTGAAAATTTATTGCTTTTACTACATCTTTTATAAGATCTGTACTTTTACGTTTTTGCTGTTCAGTCTAAATTTAAAGCTGAGCCATGTAGTTACTCTGATCCAATCATCATAGTTATTATACCAACATTTAAAATATAAATGTAAAAATTTCAGTCGGACATTCACATTTTCGATCAAACATGTCATGCATTCTAATACTGGTCTTAATCCAGTATATTAATTTCTACATGGATAGAATATAACTTGACATGACCTGACGCTCAAGGCTGATGGAAGGTAAACATCAATTGTCTAGGTAGATGTGTAATGTATGTTCTGTGACCAGGTCCTCCCTGTCTCAAGAAGCCTTGTCAGAACGGAGCTCAGTGTGAAGAGGACAGCGTGGGCAACTACAAGTGTATCTGTCCTCCGGGGTTCATAGGTGGGTACAGGATACACACACCCCATTCACGGACCACCCGTCTTTGATAATCGGGCTCATAGTTAAGAGCTCCGCTAAAGAAGCAGTTGGTCTTAGTCAGTAACAAAGCTAAACTAAGCATCACACGCCATTTGATGCTCTTTCAGTCATATTATGGTATAAGCCGAGTTGCGTCCCATCCCAATTGGACATTCACATTTCGAACACATAACTGACTTCTGTAGGCCTACTGTATAAATATTTCACTCTCTATACTTATTAACAGTAACAAAAGTGTGTATGTTAACCAGAAAAACTTAAAACTATTATTTAATATGATTATACTTTAAGAAAGAGGGAATGGATACAAAACTAACTTCAGAAGGAACTTTCTTCTGAAGAAACCCCCATGTGAACTGAATGTGTTGTGAACTTCTTTGTGCAGTTCATGCTTGACAATATTTTCTTGGGTAGGTTGGTTGAGATCCGTTCCTTCTGCCTTCCTTAATGTGTTCTTAAAAGTACCTTTTTCTCAAAAAAATATGTTTGTACCAATTTAAAATGATTTAAAATGGATGATGAGGGAATTGATTATTACTAAAAAAACTATAATTTGATTTTTAAATAATAACATGCAATAGTGACTTAAACTAAAAAAAGTTTTATCAATATAACACAAAACAAAATACATGGAATGTTGCATCCTTTGAAAATGTTAAAGGATAGTCTTGATGGTGATCCATTTGTTGCAATTGTGGAAACAATTGTGTTCTTTTTTTACTACCAAATAGATGTTTTGTATTTTATTGTGTTACAAGCAGGTATGAACCACTCTTGAGTCATGGGAGTGCAATAAATTAAATGTATATAACAATAAAAAAAGTGATGAGATGAGTTTGTTGTATTAGGCAAGCATTGTGAGACCCAAGTAAGTGGAAGAGTGTGTGAGAACAACCCCTGTCAGAACAACAGCACTTGCATCGTCAGCCAGACTGCCAACACCTACGACTGTCTCTGTCTTAAAGGTAAACCATCGTTAGCGTAACATATTTACCAAGTTAGCAACACTGTTTCATATCACCTCTGGTATTGTGGAACTATAGGAGTTAACAAAATCTATTTATGTTAAGGTTTCTTCTGCATGAAGTTAATATTTTACTATAGTTGGCATATAAAAAAAAAACTTTTTGATTAGTATATTTGATTAGGACAATTAATGGAGGTAATGTGGGATTGCTGAATCCGTCCCCTCATACAATACAAAGGATCATAAAATGTGGTTTCATTTTACCTCACATCTTGGTATTGAAATAGAAATTGTAATTTCTTCTTACTAAAACAGTAAATATTTCATTATTCTCATATTTAAAAAGCAAAATTATGTTGGAGAATGTTTTACATAATTTCATTAATTTGTGTAATCCTCTACTGTCCTTAGCACTGTTTCAGTCACTGAGACTTTTGTAGCACAATTAAAGGCCCAGAAACCCAGATCAGCAACCACAATCACTACAAAACAAAAATTAATGTTTTAGCAATAGGCTCAGTCGTATAATTATTCATTTGTCCGTTTTGCAGGTTTCACAGGCAAAGATTGTGAGATCAACATTGACGAGTGCCTGTCACAGCCTTGCCAGAACGGAGGCATCTGTGTGGACGAAATTGACAACTACACTTGTAACTGTGGCAGCACAGGGTTAGTGTGTTGGATTGATTACTATTGTATTTTACTTAACAATCAAAATGAGACAAACAAATCTATATATCCAATAGAACCGGGTAGGTTTGTGCAAATAAGACCCCGTTTTGGTAGTAATTTTGATTTTGCGTCAATGTTGCATACCTCATTAATTTTGCATGCATTTTCTGATGCACAAAACTAAGGAGTAAATAAAGTACAAGTTGTTATTTGTATTATATACCTGTATTTAACCTTCTCAATAATATAGTTAGTAGAGACAGAGTGGCAATACAAACAAATATTGCTTAACACGTATTCTTGTGAGCTGCAGTCAGAAATGCATCTATAAAAGAATCCCATTGACATAACTTTATAGCCTATGAACATAGTGATAAATATATATATATTTTAGATTCTAAATAGTTCATATCATTATGAACCTTAGTAAACTTGTCAAAAATCAAACATAAAACATATGCGTATAACGTATACATATAAATGTAGATATACATATTAATGTAGGTATACATGATACGTATACATATATATTGGCCTGTTGTTCTAGATACAAAGGACGACATTGCGAAGAAAACATTAACGAATGCGAGGAGACACCTTGTCTCAACCAAGGCCAGTGTTTCGACACTTACGGCAGCTACTCGTGCGAGTGTGTCAGTGGATTTACGGGACAGAACTGTGAGATTGTAAGTTGTCGATTATAAATCTTTAATATAAGATTAAAATGACCTATTTTGTCTTATAGGACATAACAACCACAGTTACTATATATTCTAGTATTAATGTTTCTAATTCTGTTATTCTGTTAATATATTTCTGTTATTTGACCTATTACGGGGGGTTTTGATGTTTATGATAATGTGTAATTTTTACTTGTAATAGCTTTGCATTTATGGCAACATTTTATAATAGTGCTTTTGTTGGAATTTCGCTGGTTTATAGTACATTGTAATATCGTTAAAATTGATTTAAGTTGTAAGTAGATTTCTCAGGGGTGGTTCCAGATAGCCTTAGTATAAAAATGGTACTGTGATTTCTAATAAAATCTTTAAAATGATACGGCTCTGGTAAACAGGATTAACTAAGCCTAAGCCTACTAAGTGGATGAGGAGATGGAAGAAAATAAGAAAGTACACTCATAACTCAAAATACTGTACAATCCTTCAGAGAGTTTCAAAGGTTTTAACATATCTTACAGCAAATGTTATACACCTAGCAAGCCTGCTCATAATCTTGTTGTTAAACAAAATATTTAAAAACTGACCTGGATCCATCTTTGATTTAAAAAAAAATTTAAACAAGTTCATGCGTATTTGATTCAAACAATGTGTATGAAATTAATAATACTTTAGGCAAAATGTTTTATGTTTTTATTCATGTTTATTTTTATACCAATGTTGTATCTAGAAGATTATTTAATGATAATTATTGCTGACATTTTCCATCATAATTAATAATAAACAAGTTTTCACAACATTTTAGTATGTGGAATCTGTGGACGAGATCAGATTCCATAACCTCAAAGATTGTGAAACTCGTTTTCTATTACTTGTGTGATGGACAATCTCTGCTATAAACCGTCCAATAACATCCCTAATGTAGTGTATTAACAATTTATTCACTATACTACTGTTGTTATTTAACATTTTTCTCACCGCTGTCATGATGATACAGAAGGTGCAGAGCTGCAGCAAGTGGCCGTGTCACAACGGAGGTACGTGTGAAGACATGGCTCATGGGTTCAGATGTGTGTGCCCCGCCGGCTATACGGGGGTGTACTGTGACATCATCACCAGTGTCGGGGGCCCTGCCAACACTGACTGCTACGACAAGCCTGGTGGAGTACAGTGCTTCTGCAAACCTGGCTTCACAGGTAGTTGTTACAACATGAAGTAAAGTGGAAGTCTTCGTTGTTAGATATACAGGGGCTATTTAGAAAATATCAGATAAAGACGAACTGTAAACTATATTATCTCACATGCATCATTAAAGTTAGTGCATTTATTATGACCTGGAACAAGATTTTTAAAGTGATTCACAAGACTAAAACGTCAGTTATTATCTTAACTGCCCTTCCAAGTAACCAAAGAAGCATAAGAGATACTTCAAAGATTTATGTTTTAAGTTTGATTAGTAATTTGAACACATTTGATTTCACTATTTACTTTTACAGCCAAAATTTTGGTAGTATTGAATAAATGTAGGAGAAAAATTTGGTGTCCTATAAACCTTCTTAAACCCTTGTCTTGAGTGATTTATTTGTCTATGCATTGCAATAGTCTAGCTAGTCTCTTGACTCTCAATTTAGCCAACTGGATATTATATCTTTATCTTTTTATTTTAAACTTTAAAGTAATCATAAACACTTCAGACAATATTTTTTTATAAAACTCAATATTGCCATTTGACTTGTAGGGCCACCCTCTGCCTGCAAGCCTATTGATGCCTGTCTCAGCGTGCCTTGTCACAACGGAGGCACCTGCACAGCCGCAGCGACTGGTGAAGGGTTCAGCTGCACCTGCGTACCAGGTTACACAGGTAACTGACCATCAAACCTGCTTACTACAGTTCTCTCTCACCGCTTCTATCTTCTATCTTGTAGCTTTTGCTTTCACTCATGACGACACAGAAAAAGGAATCGGCTTGACTAGTAGTAATGAATCAGAAAACATCTGTTGTTTCATTTGTATTATAAGTTTTTACTTAAATCAACAATCTTAAACTTTTTATATCATTGTGTTGAGTATTGGTATAACCATTTTCTTTTTGGGTGGAAATATGTTAAGAAATAATGTGCTTGAAATATTTTAGGTGGTGCTAAGTTCATTAAAAATACTCAAACTCAAAACTATACAGTTACAACTGGTATAACTAAACTACACAGCCCACTGGTTAGAATGTCATATTGGCAGTAGCTAGATGAGTTGTGAAAGCTGGAGATTCCTTACTCGGTGTCATATAAAAGTACAATTGATAAGTTGATCTATAAAAAAATCATTTGGAAAATATTAAGTTAGTTTATCAATTTTGTGTCTTTTGTTTAATTTGGAAAAATTTTAAATCACTGTAAAAGAAAAAGGTGTGCTTCATAAGGGATTTTTCTAATTTGCAAATGATTAATGGCATTCTTTTAACAATATGGTGTTATTTTCAAAATAGTCTCAGTTTGTCTTGAACCCTACACAAACAATTTTACCACTAATAATACCATTATCACACACATTTTTGTGGTTAATAATAATATCTGCAAACAAAATGAAAGTTCAATTTTACTTGTAAACTGCAACACAAAATAGTTTACAGTTCATTATTCTTTTGTAAACTTGATTCAAGTCTTTGTTTTTTAAATGTTTTACCATCTACATGCTTGCATTCTTATAGTAGGCTTACATTAGTTTTATAATTCATAATTTAAATTGTAACTTTGGAATTTCTCTATTAGCATTGGTTGTATAATTTTCTTCAGACTATTTTCTTGCATCATCTTTTGGTATTCTGTAACATAGTACTTGTATCTTTCCTAGCTTTCTCTCATATTAAAGTAATAAATACAACTTTGTAGATTGATTCAATATTCATTTTCTTAAACTTGCTTATGTTAAAGTAGTTATAAGTAAAGTTGTATTTTAAATAACCACCTTTCAACATTTGTAAGTCTCATAACCTTTCTTCTTTATAATTAGTTTTAATACTTATATGATGTATATTATATTATCCTCCTCTGAGTAGTTTACCTTATCGTACCTTATAAGGCGAATTCCTAAGGCTGAGATGGGCGAATTCCTTTTAGCAGTTCCAGCTCTTAACATTTTTCTGTGATTTTGGCATCGGCCTTGTTTGCAATTTTGTCTGTGTTTTAAAATATTTTGACGAAAATCGTGTAAATATTTGCTATTGCCAATTGACAACTGATTTAGACTCTAAAGTGATGTTATCCAAAGGTTGTTCAAGAAAGTATCTTTAAATTTGTCATTTTCTCCTATTAATTTATTAAAATTTATAAACACAGCAACAGCTTAGCACCATAATGTAGGATAACTTATGTGCTTTGTTGCGAAGTGCTAACTTACCATAAGTAGATGTTCACACCATTTTCAATACTACTGTATTAATAATCAGCACCAGCGTGATACATACTGATGATTACAGTAGTTATTACAGTCAGAATAGATATAAAATGCACATAATTGATTAGCTGCATTTTTATTCCTATTTTAGTCACAGAAGACAGAAGTGACGAAATTGAGAGTTTTATTTTGGAATCGACCCATCTCTGCCTACTTACAGTTGAAACAAATTGTTTTTCAACCCTTTCACTACTAATTTCCTTGTAGAATGACCTACTAACAAGACAGGGAAATAGTTGGGAGAGCGAACGCTACACTGGCAAATGCTTTTAGAAATTTCAACAAACTTTTCTTATCTTCCCCACACACCAGTCTGACCAAGCAAATAAACAAATTGTTTCAACTGTACTCTGTAGAAGTAGTTTATAATGTACTCAAGTTGTGATTGTTGGTAGTTGGTTGGTAGCACGCAGTTCACTAACAGTTAGGTTGCTTATGTAGCCGGGCACTAACCTAGCAGTGGTGGAGGTCTCACCTAATGCTTGGCTTGCACAATAATGCTACAACCTTGGACCAGGTAAGGTATTTCTCTAACTGGCATGCATACTCAGGGTGTCTAGCCGACCTAGAAACTGGGAAAACCGAGAATTGTACGTGAATTTTAAGGCAGTATCTAAGGTATAATCACGGATGTCTGACATTGATCACGGCAAATTATCACAGTTATTGCTGTGATTGTGGGAAATAACAAGAGGTTGACATGATCAACTAAGGGGATCTCGGATGTTGCCGCAATTGTGGGAGACCATTCTGAATTTTGCCACAACTGCAAAATGGGACAACAGCATGCTGCCGATGTGGCTGCTGTCGTGAGAATTTATCACAAAATTTGCCAAAGGGGTTTTGTTTTAAAGTACTATCAAGTAAAGTATAAAGTTTTGCTTATTTTGAGTGGCAAGTTTTGTCCTGGAAATTTTGAATTTTGAACCTGGAAAACCTAAGATTGTCCTTGAAGTTTACTTTGATGGAATGCTGGACACCCTGATACTTTGGAAACATAATGAATGTGAATGGTAATAAATAAGATATAGGTTTGTGTGGGTTGGGAAGGGTTCAAATGTTTTCAATGTTTTAAATGTTGTTCAAATGTTTCAACTTTTTCCAAATTTAATTCTGCATGGAAGATTTAAAATATATGTTTACTTAAATACTAAATTTCTTCTGTATTTTGAACAGCTTTATTATCAAATGTAATGTATATTGTAATGTAGTTTTTGAAATATAATAATATGATCATTTTCACTTCATTGTGGATTCCTTAAAACAAGTGTCCAATGGATTCAATTAGGAGTCTTATTTTATGTGAAAATTCTCACTTTTCAATTCTCTAGTTATTTGTCCTGTTGAAATTCTTACGCAGAGTTTTGAAGATGCAGAAGCAGAAAGCTTAAGGTCTTGAAATATAAACTACAGCTACTTTCTGACATGTGCTCCATCCCCCTAAAAATCTGGGTTTCCTTTGTCTGGATATTCATTATATTAGAAAATAAGAATTTTTTCTGAGTAAAACTGTATAAAAGAAGATAAGTACTGACACTGTAAATGACTGTTCTTAACATCTTTTCTCTGTGACAGGTGCGACTTGCCAGACCAACATAGAGGAGTGTGCGTCAATGCCTTGCCAGCACGGAGGCTTGTGTACAGACCTGGTCAACGGCTACCATTGTGACTGTACTCCTGAGTATACAGGAGCCAGCTGTGAGATCAGACGAGACCCGTGCAGCTCCACACCTTCACCTTGTCTCAACAACGGCACATGCCAGCCACGTGGCTCACGCGACGGCTACTACTGCGAGTGTCTGCCTGGTATGTTGTGTAGTAAATCCAGTAAATTCCTTTGTCCACTTAGTATGTTGTTTAGTGAAGAAAGAATGTGATTTCCTCCACTCTGTGGGTTTTTGCCGCCTCTGTCCTTTAAGTTGTTTAGTCTTATCCCGAAAAGTTTTCAGTCCATCTAGTAGGTTTTTTAGTTCACCATGTAAGTGTAATCCATGTGCACATAGTAATCTGTTTGCTATACCCAAAATAGTATATTTCATAGTTACCAGCTTTGAAAGTGACCCATTTTGAGGCAAGACAGTGGTTTAGAAGTGAGCAAACTACTAGGCCCTCGAGTAACTACTTTGTTACTACTCGAGTAACAATACTTTTTATCACAATGCAAAAATGGCACAAAATTTCTTGATTTTAAAATAATAAAACATTTCACACCCATATTCTAGTAATTCTCTTTAAAATTGATGTAGCATAGGTTTGCAGATAATTTCAAACTCAGCTGAAAAATATACTTTTGTATTAAAATTATGCATACATTATCACGGACCATTGTTTCAGTAAGGAAAAAGTTTGTTTGGGAAAGGCATAATCATAATTATGTTTGACTAGAATGGAAATCAGCAATTTTGGGTAGCCCAGCAGTATGAAAATGAACTTTTTTTGTATACAGAGTGGTGACAAATCATTTTGTCACCCAGAAAATTATTTATTCCATCAAGTAGTCTGATTAATTGTTAACCCCATTTTTTTCTGTTGGGTGTGTTTGTTAATCTATACAAAACATTAAACACGACACAGTAAATATTGTAAGTTTGAGTCGACACTTAACTCTTCAAAACTCATTATAGATCATCCAATCTGAGCAAGTATATATTTTAGCTATAGTTAGTCACTTTTAATTAATCACTCGCTGTGTAGATGTGCGATTTAAGTGCTCGCCTAGCAATCAAAAGGTAGCTGGTTCGATCCTGAGAAAAGTCAGTAGCTTTTTGATGGTTTAACACTGGACCCAGCTGTCCCTAATCATTGGGCTCTAAATAAATGATTCTGACTAATGAAATAGCCGATCTTAGTCAGTAAAAAAGCTACACTTATCATCCCACAACATTTTACACTAATCCTTACTCGTATTTGGGTTAAAATACGCACTTAGGTAGTGTCCCCATCTCAACTAATTGATAACTGAATTTGCTCAATTAAAGCCAAACATACCAACATATTATTTACTATGTCCCTATAGAGAAATTCACTAAAACACAAAGAACCTAATATGATATGAGTTTATAAGACGTGTTATCTCACATTTAAGCCTATGTTTTTTCTAAAGGTTTCGAGGGTCTTCACTGTGAGAACAACATCAACGAGTGCTACAAGGCAGTGTGTCCCGAGGGCCGAGTATGTGTTGATGGTGTCAACTCCTATGAGTGTCAGTGTCCGCCAGGGTTGACGGGAGACAACTGCTCTCAGGAACTACCCATGGCCAAGTGTCCCCCTGTCAACCCGTGCCAGAACAACGGCACGTGCCGTGACGGACCCTCACACTACACCTGCGACTGTCCTCCTGGCTGGAGAGGTAAGTTTTAAATAAGGTACAGTTAGTACGAGAACCGAGAATCGATTTTGGCTAGGAACCGGTACCGACCCATCACTACCAAAAACCCACATAAGCGACACGGAATCTCGTTATTAAGACATGAAAAATCTTCTAATTTTGCAAGATACGAATTTGGCAGAAGTTGAGTCGAGACAACCATTTTCAACATTCAAATTGTTACTGGAAAAATAAGATTTCTTAGAAGGTTTTATGAGGCTAAAAGCTAAAGACAATAAAATTCTTAACGGTGAGATTTTTTTTTAGTTGAATAATGTGTGAGCTATTATAATAAGAATCTAAGTGACTAACAAACCATAAGATTAACAAATTTCTGAAGCCAAAACATGCAGTTTTAAAGCTCAAAACACAAAAACAAAAGTGGCTAATATTGTGAATTGTAATCAATTATTTTTTATGAAAAATTCCTTAAAACTCAAATTGCAAAGGTTTAACTGTTTGTATTCACTATTTCTCTATGGTTAGAGTCCATGAAACCTAGAATTATTAAAAGCCATATTTCACATGATATAAAGGTATGATATTTCTGGATGTTTTAAATTGTGTTTCTTTTTTAACAGGTCCTTTTTGTACTGAGGATGTTGATGAATGTACTGAAAACAAAAACATCTGCAACAATGGCATCTGTCTCAACAACCAAGGTAAAATAAAGGTTATGATCTGTTATAGTTTTAATTAAAGCTTACTGAGTGTGAAGAAGAGTGTTCTGAATAGGAATTAACCACCAGATGTGAAAAGTCAAAAGAAGGTCTAATCAGTTTTGAATATAGGGTAATTGCAGCCTTAGGCCAAATTAACACAAGCGACCCCCTCCCCAAAGATGGAACTTCCCTGTGATCACAGCAAAATTGTCGACATCTCCAATCTCGGGGATATCGTCATCACCAATCGCAGTCATAACAAATTATTATATTACAAAATTTAAATTTAATTTTTGTTTGAAAAAAATGTTTTTCTACAAAACATTGCACTCCTAGGCTGCAGCCTAGTTGGTCTAGTGGTAAATCTATCTCTATGTCCAACCCAAAGTAATTTTTCTAGACTAGTGTTCTTGGGATTATGGACTTGTAGTGGATACGAGTCCCACTCAATAGCTGAAATACTTAATTCAATTTTCTCCACAAAAATGAAGCTCTACAATACCTATTAGTCATAATATGATTAATGGCTACCAACAGTATGGTAGATAAGAAATTACTCAAACATATGCTTTACTTAAGGCTAGTTTTACTTTTATAACATTCTCTTACTCCCAACATAATAAATATTAACAATTTGTGTTTTACATGTTAAATGTTTTTTTAACTTCTTTGATTCAACCAAACATAATTATCCGTTTTGAAATTTTTTATGATGGTTAAATAAAAAAAGCTCACTAATGTAGATAGTAATTTAAAACTACTTTGCCAAAGTCTTCAAGTCGATCATTGCAACTAGATTAAATTCAAGGTAACAGACTGATGTAGAATTTTGGGGCTGTAATATATTAACTAAAATAGATAAAATATGGGAATGTAATATATTAGGGGATTGTATTGACAGCATGTATACTTTCTTGTTGTTTTATTAATTGCCATTTCAGTTACATGGCTTAGTGTGAATATTACAAAGGTGATTCTGGAATGTATTATTTTAGTTGCACTCTATGAATCCCTGCTGTAGACCCAAACAGAGTCCCTATTACATGCGGAATGTTTTGCAGGTGGCTTTGAATGTTTCTGCCGTCCCGGTTACTCCGGAGAGCGTTGTGACTTGGACTTTGACGAGTGTCTGTCTCACCCCTGTGAGAACAACGCGACATGTGTAAACAAAGTGAACGGCTTTAGCTGCAACTGCCCACCTGGTTTCACAGGTAGAACCAAACCTATAATGAGGTATTTTTTTCCTTAATGTAATATATTTATATTGAGAACCAAATTTAATCCAATGATGATGTCAACTGTTTTTTTGTTGTTGTCTTAGAGCCAATTCTGTACAACAAAATATAAGCAATTGGGACTTGGGGCTTTTCAAAAGTTTAATTCACAAAGTAATAAAGTATACTAATAATCTAGTTATTATCTGAACCGTACTATTACAATATCTCTTCTTATCCTATTTACTTTTTTCCCAACTTATTTTGCTAGTTTTTTTTCAACTTATCTAAACAGATAAATCTTTCACATTCATCTTTAGACCTTCCTGCAATTTATAATTCCTCTCAACCTACACTTCAAACCTCTCTTATTGTCCTAAAACCTTTCTATATTTATTTGTCTTTCAACTTCATCATCCTCATTCTTCTCCACATATCCAGCTACCTCTACATTTTTGTGTCACTGACTTATCCTACAACTTCTTTACTTATCCTACAACCACTATGCTTATCCTACAACCTCTCTACTTAACCTAATACCTCTCTACTCATCTCAAAGCATCTCTATTTACTCTCTGACTCTTGTCTTTCATAGGTCTGGTGTGCAGTGTAGACATCAACGAGTGTGACAGTAACCCATGTCAGAACGGAGCCACTTGTATGGATCAGCTGGGTCACTTCCTCTGTGTCTGTCCTGTGGGTATAACCGGTCAGCTGTGTGAGACCAACATAGACGACTGCGAGGTACTACACCTACCTAGGATTAGTAACACCTTACTGACAAAAATGAATTAAAATTAAACACATAGAATTATGAGAAACTAATTAAATAAGATAAATTAACAACTAAAACTTACAAGAGCAAAGAAAGACTCAACTCCTGAAGAAGGAACCAGTAGCTCTGAAAATTCTATGTGTTTATTTGTGCATTTGGGAGTGTTGCACAAAGTCCTAATGTATTTTTTAATTGAATTTGTTATATATTTGACACATTTGTCCACAGTCCATGCCCTGTCAGAACGGTGGAGCTTGTATTGACGGCATCAACAGCTACTCTTGCAACTGCACGGACACTGGATTTGAGGGTGAATACGATGTAGGGTATGATAAGAAGAAATCACCACTGCAATTACAGATGGCCTTTGAGCTGTTAGTTAACCAATAAAATAGGGATGGTCAAGTCTCAAAATTTCGGGAAATTTTCGGGAAATTTTAAATCTCGTTACACGAAACAAGATTTCTTTCTGGCCGAGATTTTTATTGAGACAATAAAAAAAAAAAAAAAATTCAAAACGCCTGCAGAAAGTCAATGCAATACCCGCAATACAGGAGCGTGTTGTAGTTGCGTTTTCTATGCGAAGGCGTTCTTATTTAATTAATTCTTTAAATGTAAATATTACTTTAATAACATTTGAGAAGTTTTGTTTAGTGTAAGCAGTGTGAGGAATGTTTTATTACTATAAAAAGTCAAAACAAGTAACTATTTTATAAAAATTAATATTGCTTTTATTTTAGGATAAGTTGAACTCTATCCTAACTGATATCACTATGTTTCCTAATCGTAGGCATTTTTAATAAGTTAGGCGTGATTAATAAAAAAATGTTATGCTGATGTTTTTTAATAAAAGATTGTAAATATTCTTGCCTATTATCATTATTTTTGTATTTAAACAGTCATCTAACAATGTTACAAAATCAGGTAAAAATTTTGAACGTGCATTTCCCGTTGCGTATGAGAAGGGAAATCCCGTCTCGATCTCGTCTCGAAATTTTATGAGAAATAAAAAATCTCGTCTCGTCTCGTCTCGAACTAAAAATCCAATCTCGTCCATCTCTACAATAAAACAAATGTTTTATTTTAATTCAGCAAATCGTTGAATCTAAAAAAAAATAAAAAAAACTTATAGGCTAGGCCTATTATTTTGTACTGTCGTTGGCCGAGCATGAAGAGCCACTCTTTCCATCCTGGCGATATTCAAATTAGCCCTATATAATCCAAACCGCTATGCCACAATGTTTCTGTAAATATTAGTTTTGTAAAAATGGTATATAGTAATTAAATTGACCCAATCTATCTGATAATGTTGGTCAAAGATGAAGACATCAAGTAAGTAAGTAAGTAAGTATAAGAGTAATAACAAGTTGTTTTGGAAATGTTGTAGTTAAGACTTAGAAACAATTTTAAAGTCTAATTGATCAGAAATTTACATGTGATAACTATAAGGATAGCGGTATTGAATGTATTACTAGCTCAGAACAAACCATCCTTGTTTTAGGAGTAGATGTATTACTCAGTTGTGTCTATATAAGAATGATTTAAACATTGACCTTTTTGTAGTGATGACATTTTGTGTATTGGCAGGTAAGCAGTGTGAGATCAACATAGACGACTGCCTATCCCAGCCTTGTATGAACGGAGGCCAGTGTGTGGACGGTGTGAAGGACTACCAGTGCCGCTGTCACCCAGGCTATACAGGTACAGGCGCTTAAACACTTTAATATTAGTACCTAAGCTTCAAGGGTGGGTGAGTAGTGTTTTTTTATTACCTCAAGTTTTTTCCCACCCCTAGACAACAAATTTTACATTACTATCCTTTGTAGCCTATTCACTTGTTGGACACTCTGAAAAACGTATTGAAGAGCAAAATTGTAAGAAATATAAAAAATGAGTAAGTAAATGTTTAACCGTTTTTAGTAGTCATCTTAAATGAGAACAAATAATTAATTAGCTGTAGAATTCTAAAAACTTTTCAAGGACAATTTAAACAATAAGATATTTTAATGGACTTTATAGAGCTCGAGCCCTAGTTTATTATTATTCATAAATACTGTGTTTGGTATTAATAATCCAGTAACTGGATTACTACTGAACACCTCACTAGTTAATAGGTAGTGACAATTTCTGTTTTTACTTGGCAGGCAAGAACTGTGAAGAAGACATCAACGAGTGTGAGAGCAACCCCTGTCAGCTGAATGGTACGTGTTACGAGCTGTCCAACCAGACGTACTACCAGCTGAGTGGTGTGGACTCGTCTTTACCTGCTGTGTTTCATCAGCAGTTCTCACACAGCACAGCCTCTGGGTAAGGACAGTGGAGAGCTCATAACATGCTTTGGGAGTGTGAAATCTACTAGACCTGACATCACAGTATACAAACACTTCACTTTACTTCCTCTGTACATAATAGTTATATCGTGAAAGTATTTGTTGGTTTGTTCGATTACTTTCACGGGGACGACGCTCATTTAAATGTTTTTATATTTGTCATAGACAAATACTCGTCACGTGGATGGATGGGTATTGTTGAAATTACGTCCTTCAAAACTATTGTTGACTATTATCTTGTGAAGAATTGGTTTTCAGACCATAATCTCATAATATACAGTCCATCCAAAAAAAGTCGGATATTTAACGCAACCGACGTGGTAAACAAATTTGGGCTCGGTTCGACCAAATCCGAACCTAATTTTCGGATAACCGCACACCTTTAGAGATATTATTGGTTTAACTGTTTATTTTCGACTGGGATGTATTCAGAAATGTATAAGTCAACCTTTCCAAGTGATAGAGGTGGATAAATCTCTAACATAAACATGAAATATACCTCGTGCTGTTGCTGATATAGAAGAATTGTAATTGATCATTGGGCAAATTTCCCACATTAGGTAGTGAAAGCATTCAACTATGATTGTTGTGTTCCAGATATACTTGTGTGTGTGTTCCCGGTACGACAGGAGAAAACTGTGAGATAGACATTAATGAGTGTGAAAGCAACCCTTGTGTCAAAGGCAACTGTATCAACGACATCAACAAGTACCACTGCGAGTGTGATGATGGCTTTGAAGGAGTCAACTGTGAAATAGAGATAGACGAGTGTGAGAGATACAAGTAAGTTCATCAGTCAGGTTTACTTTTCCTTTCTAGTAGGTGTGTTATTCTTTTGGTAAGGGGAAAGGACATGAGTGATAATAAAATAGCCAGAATAGTGGATTTTTGAATGGTAGATGTCTCTTCCATCCACAAAACCGATCTTTATGGAGACCAAATGGCACTGGCGCTACCTAGTATACTAAATTAAATTATAGACATTATTTTTACTTATTGCTTTTGTGGTACTGGAACTGAAACCTTGTGGAACTTACAACCCCCCCCCCCATCTTTTATAATTCCTTTTAATTTGTTCCCCTCCATAAAGAGTGCTTTAGTAAAACAAGAAATATACACTGCGATTATACTGTTTTTCTTAAAATATAAAGATTTAAAGTTATAATAAATTTTGTGTAAAGAAAACTGACCAGCTCCAGGTGTAATAAAGATTTTCTTCCACATAAATCATACATTTTGATAGTTAGATAGTTTTTACAAACGAAGGAAAACTAAAGCATTTCTCGCTGCAGGCCTTGTGTACATGGGACATGTGTGGATCTCACAGCCAACTACAACTGTCAGTGCCAACCTGGCTACGGAGGCAAGAACTGTTCTGTGGAGCTGACGGGCTGCAAGGAGAACCAGTGTCTCAACAACGGCAGCTGCAAGCCGTACTTGGAGAACGAGAGTAAACAGCTCTTCAACTGTTCCTGCACCAACGGCTATCATGGCCACATTTGTGACAAGGTGTGTTATTTTGTTGGAATGTTGTAGCATTGACTATATTAAAGGAGACTTTCCATCTACATGGACCAGCTGTAGAAATTCGCTCATTCAAATAGATTCTAGTTGAATGAGCCACTAACAGTAAGTGCAACTGTCCAATTTTCTCTCTTTTTCAATACGCTGATAGCTGATGTGATTTAAAAGATGCTTTCGTTTACAGTGTCTTTACAGATCTAATATCAATCTTCTTTTTTTGCCATAATTACCTGTCTATTGTTGACAGCCGACGACAATGTCACTGAACGGAACGTCATACGTGATGATCAACACCAGCAGAGAGGAAGGATATGACATTCAGTTCCGCTTCAAGACCACGCTGCCTAATGGACTCCTGGCGATCGGCAAAGGTCCGACCTTTTACATTCTACAATTGCAGCATGGTCGTCTCAATCTGCAAAGCTCCATTCTCAACAAACTGGAGGGAGTGTTCATTGGCTCAGGACTCAACAACAGCTCCTGGCAGAAGGTGAGTACGTTGTGATAATGGAGAGTGTAGGGAAAGGATATGATGTTTTTTTAAACGGTTTACACCCATCCAACAGTTTTGTTATTTCCTCTTTTCCTCTTATTTCCCTCTAACTGTAGATTAAGCTCTCCTATTTTGTTCACCTCACCTCTTATGCTAGCAGTTGGCCTACACTATCGCCAAACATAGGTAAGCTAAGGCGACCACAAAAGTGTACTCAGTCTTCTCTTGATATATTACCTTGCCATTATTTGTGCTCTCCTGTGTTCTGGTTTTTGGGACGTGTCAAACATGGGCGAGCGTGTACTGGGTGAGCTTGTGGGTACTTAAGGTTTACATTCGGCAGCATTCGTCATCATGACTTCCGCCTAAAATTTGGCAAAACTCTTGGCGGAACATTCGGCAGTGGTGTACTAACTTGCCCAGTTGATTTGTCTGCTTAGGTAATTACTATAGGCTTTTGATAATCATACAATACTTTTTCTACTGTCCGTAGGTGTTTGTTGCCATCAACGCGTCTCACTTGGTCCTGGCTGCTAATGAGGAACAGACCATCTACCCCATCAGCATCAATGAGGCTGCCAACACGAGCCACACCAGTTTCCCCACCACATACCTCGGTGGCACTGTGGTTAACCTGTTCAGACTCACCTATCTACAGCAGGGGCCGCGGGCTCCGTCATTTGTGGGTTGTGTGCAGGACGTTGTGGTCAACGGACAGTGGGTGAGTACAGGCTAAATCATGGTGTATCTATTAGTTATTCTACTGTCATATTTGTATATTTTTAATTCAACTTTAAGTATAATTTTTCTTAAGCAATGTATGTTATTGAAATCAAATTCATTTTTCTTCAACTTCTAGACTAATCTACATGTTGTTATTTCCCTCTCCCTGTAGGTATTGTCCAATGAGAGCCAGATGCAGCCCCATGTGATGTTGAAGGACATAGAGGTAGGGTGTGCTCGTACACCTCAGTGTGAGCCCAACCCTTGTCAGAGCGGAGGTCACTGTACAGACATGTGGAGGACATTCAGCTGTGCCTGTACAAGACCCAACCTGGGCGACAAGTGTGAATACAGTGAGTGTCACAGTCGTACATATAGCTGATATTAGTCAAAATCAAATGTTTAATACTGAAATCAAGGGCTTGAAAATACTTATCCATCTCAAAATGCTTGTTAGACCCTGCTGTTGGAGTTTTGTCAAACAAGAATCTGTAGAAAAAAAAGAGATAAAACACACACAAAAACAAACTAATTTTACAAAAAAAAAAAATTAATTTAACAAATTGTTCAACCATGCAAGATTTAAGTTGCGAAACATTTTGTCTTCTGGTTTATTAAAATTGGTCTAATTGAACCTGGATACATCTTTCAATACAACTAGGCCAATTCAGATTTTTTTTTAATTCCGTCAGTTACTATGACATGTTCTAATTACTAAATCCATACTCTTTCAGGATGAGCTTTTCTACTCAGGCAAACTTTACATCCCAATAAAGTTCTTAAAACCTAGGTCCTTGTGGCCTTTATTGCATCAACTAACCATGAGCACAAAAAAGGCAAAGCCTTGTTATCTTTTTGAGTATTCATATTCATATATTGATATTATACCAGAGATAATTTGACAAAATCTAGTTTTTTACCGCCTACAAGTTAGAAAGATATGTTCTTTTAAACGTTAATATAATAGATACATTTTTTTCAGATTACACTGCTGCCACCTTCTGGAACGAAAACGTTGAGCCGTCCCCCGTGGTGGTAACACTAAGTCAGGCAGCACGCAAGGCTGTACGCAACATTGTGGACATATCTATGTTCATCCGTACTCGACAGGCGCAGGTTTGTGAACATTGTGTCATTTAACATGCTGTCTACTCTCCAGGAATTCAAGGAAACCAGGAATTATACATTACCATTATTGATGTGTCGATACCAAAATTTATCGATTCTTGATACCGATACCATTTTTTATAGTGTTACCAAATTTTCTGAATGGATTATGGATAGGTTATACTACACCAACCTCTGTCTTTATGTCCTTCCATAAGGTATTTTTTGAGGTAATGGGGTATTTTTCACGTAAAGAAAAAATTAATGAAGCAATGACAATTTTGAACCAGCCAATTTAAGTTTAAACCCATTTAAGTTTAACATGAAATAACTACCATTATCAAAGGTAAATGATGATGTAAAAATATAAAAATCAAAAAGAAAATGTTATTATTTAACTTAAGGTCCTGATATTGTTAGTCAAGCCAAACTTGAGGTAATATAGTGATCATCTCCCGCGGTTGTGGGGACATCATCCTCGTTTTCTTGGATCACTCTGAAATCCTAAATATCTTCCTCAGTCACAGAAACATCATCACTGTCTTATTGGGTTGTGGAAAAATCCTGAATATCGCTCAGTGGTAACAGAAACACCATCATTGTCTCCCACGGTCATGAAAACGTTATCAACGTCTCCCGCCATTGCAGCAAATCACGAACATCTCCTACGGTCATGTTGACATTTTCATCATCCTGCTGTCGCAGTCAAATTCTGAGCACGGAAAAAATAAAAAAATCTATAAGTGTTCTTCAGTTACAAAATACTTTTCAGAAATCTAAACTACAGCAATTAAGGCTGTTCCCAAAAATATATATAATGAACTTATAATTTGTAGCAAAAACTAGGTCTTGAAACTTATCACAATAAACCTCTTTTAACCAACCCTATATCAAATGCCACGCGGATTAATCACCTCTGCCCCGGTACAAATAGAGTTTAGGTGTATCCCTCCTAAATTTTAGAACTTTTAATTTACCTTTTCCGGGAATTCAATTATCAACTATCATTCATTAAGATAGGGACGCCACCTAGGTGCGTATTTTAACCCAAATATGAGTGAAGGATGAGTGTAGAATGGGTGTGTGATGACCTGTGTAGCTTTGTTACTGACTAAGATCAGCGGTTTCATTAGTCAGGATAATTTATTTAAAGCCCAATGATCAGGAACAGCTGGGTCCAGAGGCATCCATTCCTTTCCTTCTTGCAATAATAAATGTATTCATGTTCATGCATGTCTAGTTTTGTTTTGAATCTGATTTATTGTAGACTTCTACATCAGATCTTACAACTATATTAAACATTCAACAATTTTTTTTCCACAGGGAGGTATCTTCTACCTGGGGTCGAAGCCGTCAATGTCGCCAGGTGAGGCTATGGTGATAGCACACTTGGCAGGGGGAGAGCTCCAGGTACAGATACAGTTCAATGGCACCTCAGAGGGCTATGGCATCCCTGGCAGCAAACTGGATGACGGCTACTACCATCTCATACAGGCAAGTCTCTACCAACATCTATTTTATGTGTCATTTACCCAGGGATTGTGAGTAAATTACCCAACAGCTATAACAATGTTTGTAAGAAAGTGCTATTTATGACAGTAAAACAATGAATTACTATCACACATATTGCAGGTGGTGCGCAACTACACGCTGGTCCAGATCAAGATCAACGGCACAGAGTACGTACGGAAGGCTATTGGAGCCAGTGGCCAGTTAGACCTGCAGACCTTGTACCTGGGTGGGCTGCCGGAGATAATGTTGCCCCAACAACACTCTCGCATCACACGACAAGCCTCTCTGCGCTCCAAGGACCCTGTACCTCCTGCGTACTTCAAGGGGGTCATACAGGATGTGCAGGTCAGTGTAGTGAACAGTCTGCGGAATGCAATTGACTATTTGCTAAAGACTAAATTTGTATCATGAAATATTGGTTTCTAAAGTTCCATCAAATCATGAAATCCTCAATCAAATTTCGCAACCTAGATCTTCCCATTGTAAAGGATATGAAGTTTGTTTAACTGATTTAATTTGTATGATAATTTAGTAATTGATTTGAGGATGCTTGCTTAATAGAAATAGTCGATCCTGGTAGAAGAAAAACGGACACACCATTTACAGTTCACATTAATAAGAACATCTTACCATCACTGATGGCATATTAAGGAAGATTTCAAGATGGGGAAAAATAGCTGTGGCTATTAGGCTGAAAAGAGTCCAAGATTGCTTAACATTGTTATTGCTCTTTCTTTTGTAAACCATTTAGACCTTCCTCAGGTAAAGTATCTGTATGTACTTACTTCACTATTTTTATTTTACTTTCCTCTTTTTCTTTGTACCCAATTTCTTCTCCGTCAATACAAACTAAAATTAATTGGCATCTAAATTAATCTCTAGAGTTAAATTTAAAAAGGTTCAACTTTGCAAACTATATAAGAACCGTGTGAAGAACAAAGAATAGTCAGTACATTAATTAAGGAGTGGTTATTGCTAAGGTTTATCTATATTACTTGAGAAATTGTATAGTGGCTAATAAGTACATAAAAGAGACACACAACATAACACTGATATTTATTGCTGGTTTCTATATTACAAGACTTATTTAGGAAATATACTGAATTGAAATGTAATTTAAAACTAAAATTCTATCATAATTAGTAGTTAAAATTGATTCATTGGAATGGAATGGTTCAGTTTGTAATACCTATTGCATGTCGCAGGTGAGCAACGGGTCACATGTGATGATCGCAGAGTTCTTCCCCCTGGAAGAGACGGAGGGAGCGCTGGACCTGCCAATGTCACTGGGTACAATGGAGATTAACACTACATCAGTGTTGAGAGGGGTTGTGTCAGACGACGCTTGCAACAACACACCCTGTCAGAACAACGGCACCTGCCACGTCACTTGGAACGACTTTGAGTAAGTAACATATTTATTATCTGGAGCATCATGGTTTTACTTTATTTATATTTTAGATTCAGCGACTCAAGTCGGTAGCACTAGGGACTGTGAAATTAGAGCAGCAATTTTGTGTATTTGCGGCTTGGTTCTGCCTCGTATAACTTATTAACCCAGTTAATTGTTGTACTGAATTGGATCTTCTCTTTCCTTGTGTGATGTGTTTCATTCTCATGCCTTAGAGGTCTATGTGCTGGTAAACTTATGGTTAAAGCCAACCGCTTGATGTATATATTTGTTTGTGTTTTAAAAAAAGGTAGGATCAATACTTCATCAAACTAGTATGTTGGATACGTAACTAATAACCAATAACTATAACTAAAATAAATTAGTTAGTTGTAGTTTTACTATACATCAAAATGTATCATACATTTTGTTGTAATGGTAAAGAAATTAGGTGGAGTTCAAAGGAAAACTGTTAAGTTCATCAGTTAGTTATTTTTTGTATATATAATGTGTATGTTTAGATTTTTGTCAGTACCTGTAGAAATATATGAAAGGACAAGAAATCTGCAGATGCAGTTCAAAGCTATTAAAATTTCTTGTCCAACTGCTATGGACCAAACAAGCAAATCTAACACCAATGTGTGATATTCTAACCACCCGGCCAGTAACACACTCAAGTTCTAAGTCATCAAAATTTGTATTGCCCACAGTGACCACATGCTTGTGTTTACATTGTCACCATACTCATGAATATCTCAATTTGCCAGATGTGACTGCACAGTCGGGTTCAAAGGCAAGCGGTGTGACGAGATGGAGTTCTGTAAGATCACGGACTGTCCGGCCGGCAGTCGGTGTCAGAACCTGGTGTCCGGCTACGAGTGTGTGGCCAACGTCACACTGACAGGCAACACCACGGGTCTGCAGTACAAGCTGGCGCGGGGAGATCACAGCAGTGCTCTGGACACTGTTAGTGTTACGTACCGCACACACGAGGGCGGCACATTGCTGCACATAGTCGGCCATCACACGCCTCACAAGTACTTCACCATCTCTACCAACGCTGACACGGTACGACTACTACATTGTAATACCTGTGATAGATTTACTGTACACTGTCCTCCACAGGAAAATGACTGGTCTCTGGTCATTTGAGCATAGTTCTTTTAAATGGCTTGGATCTAACCAAAAAAACCAATTTACTAGGCATTTTACTAGCAACCATTTTATCCAAGAGATTCTAACATTTAATAAGTTGTTTGAATAAAAATTTTTGTTTACACATTTTTAAAGCTGGGAAAGAACCCGTTAAAGACACAACTGTTTGTCTAGCGGGGTCTGAGGGAAAGTTTCACTAATTGTTTGTTTTTTCTGAATCTAAATTGATTATTGAATTTGGAAAGTGAGCAAGCTGCATGAAATCGTTGTCCATTTCCCCCTACAAAACATTTATTGTTTGCCTTGTTTACTTTTTACTGCCAGCTGATTATTTTTTGTTTTGGTAAGTGAATTGTTGGTGTTAAGTTTAAGATCTAAACTTACATTTACCTTTACATTTCCTACCAGCTATCCCACTTCTGACTAAAGCACTTGCTATATATTTAATTTTTAATTGTTTTCAAATCATTTCAGAAACTAGCACGGTTGTTTTATAAGTGAAAACAAAAATTATTACCTTTAACTATTGTTATTACCTAACAAATTCTTCCATGCTGTGTAGAAAATAATTTTCTGGTGGATTAATTTTACATCCATAGATGCTAGTGCTGTGTTGTAAAATGTTGCTTAGTCAGTATTGACGTGTCTACACAGGTGGAGATTGCGTGGAACTTTGAGAAGGACAACAAGGTGTTGCACCTGAAGAAGGAGTCTCAGGACGGGGACTGGGCGACAGTGCTGCTCAAGATGGACGCCCAGCTGACAGGTGGACTGGAGGGGGCGTTAGAGGACACGCCACAACACCTCACTCCGACAAACTTCTCCATCGTGGAGTGGCACGAGCTTATAGCTAATGCTGACATATTTATAGGTCAGTGACATGAGTTGATAGCTTTACTTTCATTGTTTTTTTACTTCTGGGTGTTTTTTTTGTTTTTATTGAATAAAAGGTTAACCCTTTGAGGTCGAATGGTGAGTATAGGTCGCCGCCCTCCATTTTCCCGACTGCTAAAAATGGCTACCTATACTCAAAAAAAAATTTATATATCAAAAGTCAAAAAAGTTTATCTTTGCGGTCAAATGGCGAGTATAAGTCGCCAAACACCATTTTCCCGGCAACTGGAATGGCAAACTATACTCGCTGAAAAATGGGGAAAAAATTCTACCTCAAAGGGTTAAGATACCTTTAGGGGGTATTGTGTGTCGATTTTGCTTTTGGCTGGACAACCAAAGGTTTTGAACCTAAAGTTTCATATTCAAGTTGACTACTAGGCCATTGAATCACTGTAGTTGTGAAAAGTGTTCATAAAATTGGGTTAGGGCCTATAAAAATACACGGACACAAAAATATTTAACACTTGGCCTGGTAACAATAGTACTGATCGAAATTAAACAGTGTTTCTGCAGAAGATGAGCTATGAACTTTTAGGTAGATACTCTACGAGTATTAATATTAAATGTTCACCTAAAGTAACTGGACGTCTGTTATATTGCAGGTTCAGAAGGTGGGAATGAGTTGCTGTCTAACAAGAACACTTATATCACAGACGAACAGAACAACGAGGTTAGCTCGACTTACGAAAGTACCAAGAGGCCTTACAAGGTATGTACATTTTGATTGTTATAAATAATAATGTGTGTGTGCTTGAAGGGGTTTTGATGGTATTGTTTGCTCTGATGGAAGTTATTTCTTGGGAATGATTAAATTACTCACTCATCCAGGTGTTGGTGTACTCTCAGATTTACTAAATTGCAATGACATATAAAAAAATTTAAATACCTGCAGTACTTCCAGCTCCTTCTATTATCAGACCAAGTAACCGAGTAACAACATTTTTTACACCATGTGTGTCAATGTCTTAATAAATCGATGATACATTTCAAACAATCAAATTGTTTTGACAATTATAACAGTAATTTAAAGTGGTACGTTTTATTACACTACAGGGGTGTATTGGAGAGGTACGAATCGGAGGCCTTCTGTTGCCGTACTTCTCACCAGACGAGCTCAACAAGATCAATGAGACGTGGGACTATTTTGCCCTGCAAGTCTCGTCTCCCCTCACCATCGGCTGCTATTTGTGCTTTGACTCCAACTGCATCAACGGAGGAAGGTCAGAATACTATCTCTCACTTAGGGATGTAAATGTACATTGGTGGCTCAGTTGGCAGCAAAAGGGACAGTGAAACCATGGCAGTGATGTCAAGGGTTCGTGTCCTGGTGTTGCCACTAAAAATTTAAAAGTACACCTCATACCGGCCTACCCCGTGCTTGCTTGATATTCCTTTCAGGCTCTTTGGACAATATAGTAAATTCCTTAAGAATCATCCTTGACTGAGTATTTGATTTCAATCTATGATTAATTTGTTTGAATAAGTAATGATATGCCATTAAACCTGATCACTGATTGCTGCACAAATAATAAATACTAGTTTAGTGTTGAATGTCTTGATGTATAAGCTTATTTAGAATAATTAGTCAGACTGTGTGAACCTTATATATGAGACATTTCCGGGATTGCAAAAAAATATCTGCTCTAATATACCTTTTTAAATACATGATTACGTGTTTACTCATTATAATAATTAATTGCCTTGTAAACACTACCAAGTAAGTATATACCTTTTTTTATTTTTATTTTTTTATCATTTTTAATGATTTTACATATGTTGTGCGTAGATGTGAGGAGCCGATGTCATCGTACGCATGTAACTGCTCGGCTGGCTTCACTGGACAGTTCTGTGAGACAAACATAGACGAGTGTGTAGACAACCAGTGTGCCAACAACTCTACGTGTATAGACCAACTGGCCAACTACACTTGTCAGTGTCTACCTGGCTACGAGGGCTGGCTGTGAGTATACAGACTCTAGGCCTACTTATGTTAGCTTACAGTACGCGTCTGCAAAGATTGTATGATTGAAAAATTCACGCTTTTGCTGCTACTGTGGATTATGATGATACAGTTTCTGTGGTAAGTGGGAGATGATGACAATGTTTTTGCAACTACAAGAGATGTTCAATATTTTGCCGGGATCGTGAAATATGATGATAATGTTCACAAGACCTTGAGAGGTACTGAAGATTTAGCCACAATCGCGGAATACAATAATTTAGTTTTCCATTACCGCAGGAGATATCCAGGATTTGGAAAATGACAATGTCTACACAACTGTGGAAGATGGACAAGATTTTTCCACGAGAGATGACAGTAACGTTTCTGTGATCGCGAAAACTATCACCGAAACATCTCTACACAATTAGAGAGATGTCCATGTTTTTGCTGAATCATGGGAGATCATGGGATGGATTCTCCGGGAGCATAAAAGATGTTTTGCTGTGGTCGCAGAGATAATGACAACGTGAATGAACATGAATGCCGGCGGTATTAAGGATTTTCCCGGGATTGTGGAAAACTATGATGATTTGTCCATGACCGCAAAATTTGTCCAGGATTTCACTGAGATCACAGAACAAGATGATGATGTTTTTGTAGCTCGGCTTGATAAAAAATCTCAGGCTGGCACATCTTTACTGAAAAGTAATCGATGGATTTCATTTGGTTTTATTGCCAGTCTGTTTTGACAGACAGGAAAACAAATTAATTAAAAGATAGGAAGTAATATAAAGGAACACACAAACGTTATTGGAAGAAAACAGCTACAAATGAAGTGGTTGTAAATGTGATTTTTTTTTTCAGTAAAACTGTAATTTTAGGTATTTACTCAGGGGAGGTATAGAAGAGGCTACGATGACAGCTGTGGGCTTCTTATTAGCTGAGGGAACGCCATTACCGTAACAAAACTGTTGATAGCCATCAGCTTCGGTGGTCTAATGGTTAGCGTGCTGGGCTGATATACTGTAGGTCCCGGGTTCGAATCCCGCCGGTGGCATTAACTTTTTGTCCAAGATTTTTTCATTTTCAGCAAGTTTGGTTGGTTTGGTTTGGTTATTACAGTTTAATTTTATTATTAAGTCATTATAAAATTTTAATTGAGCAATTTCTAGTTTCATTTTATAAACAGAATTATTTTTCCGATTACTATAAACTTTTGTTATATTATTTCTTTATCAGCAAGTTTGGTTAGTTCGGTTAGGTTATGATAGTTTAATTTTATAATTAAAAATTAATAAAATAGAATTTTAGGCATTTATAATTTTATTTTATGAACAGAACTATTTTTGCGATTAGTAAACCTTCATTGCCAAAGTGCTCTTTACTACAGCGCTGTTCACGGAGGAATTTTGAACTAAATGCCTCATTTGTACCTCCCCTAAGTCAGACCCGTAATTTTAAATTGTGTAAATGGTGACCTCAAATAATAACTGCCTTCCTTCATGTTAAGTTTACTAACCAATGGAAACCTTTACTCACCAGTTGTAAGTTTTGTGAGAAGATTAGTAATATGTGTGTGCTGTGCAGGTGTGACGTCAACACAGACGAGTGTGCCAACAGTCCCTGCATGCACGGGGGTTCGTGTGTGGACGGCCTGGCCAGCTTCACATGTATCTGTAGTGAGGACTATGTGGGTGACCGCTGTGAACAAGTCAGACTCATCACATGTGAGAACCAGCCTTGCGAACACGGCGCCACCTGTCTCAACGGTTACAGTGAGTAGAACTAGTTCATACACTGCAATTATTAGGTTAGGTTCTCCTATGTATAATGGACTCCTTGAAACCTTACCTGTATCTGGACCACCAGAAATTAAACGATTCAAAGCCACTCATCAGGTGTGCAAAATTAACGAAAGAGTTCTACACAGTAGAGAAATACTGCAAAAACATTTTCATGAAGCACTATCGCTAGACAAACAGATTTTTGTTTTTTTACGTGGCTATTTATATAGTGTTTTTGCTGTTTGACCTCTCCTACAGATGAATTGAGAGTGTCTGGATATTGAATAACTCCTCTTTAGGGTTGAGAGATGACAAGTTGTTATGTGTTGTGATGTTTTTTTAAGATGACAAGACTGGTGAGAACTACACGTGTCACTGTGCACAGAACTACGCAGGCAGCAAGTGTGACAAGGCCTACTGTGAGTTGGAACATTGTGTCAAGGGAGTATGCAATGCCAATGCTGTGGTAAGTCACTACCTCTCCTCTCAGTTTATAATCTTCAAGTTAAATCCAAAAGTAAAATTATGTTTCCTGACAAAGCCATTTTACTTTTGCACAAATGGCTATCCATACCCAACGAGGTATTTTTTGTAACTGAAAAAACCTCTCCACTTCTGATCCTGTTTGTCTTCTAAGATTTTAAAGCTACCAAACTTTTGATTATATATATATTTTATCTTACTTTTCTTTCATTTTTTGCAAATTTTACCCATAAATGAAATAAGCTTAAGTAATAATTCATAGCTTAAACTCGAGGACTTATGACGCCTTGACCATCATCCAATATTAAGATTTTAACAAATTTTTTGTTTGATTTAACTAACACACAGAATTATTCCACAGCCGCCATTGTGTGAGTGTGAGCCGGGCTTTGAGGGGAAGTTTTGTGACAAGAATATTGACGAGTGCCGTTCCAACCCTTGTCTCAACAACGGAACTTGTATCGACGGCATCGCAGCCTTCGCTTGTAACTGCACCGGCACTGGTGAGTCTAGTTGCTGATAGAATGTGTAGACAGAAGACCAAGTGATGAGATGTGATGTTAGTCATGTTGTGTGTGCGATGCTGCCTTGTGCGAACACACCTGGCAGTTTCATCTGCTGTTAATACAAACATATTGTTTGTTCGGTCTTTTTATTTTAAGAAATTAAATACTTTTGAATAATGTACATGAAAAGTACCTTAAATGTGGTAGATCCTTTACACTGTGATTTGTCCTAGTGTAACAAAAAGGAAATTTTCTTATAGGCCTACATTTTATGTAAAACGTGAAACATAACCTTAGGCTTTTGCTAACAAGTACAATTTAAAGACGGATCATTTTAAAATCTCAATAAAAATGTTTATTTTTTTAACCCTCCGAGTGTCCCTTGTTTTGGCCTTAATGTCTGCCTATTTTTTGCTCATTTGCAAGGTTTTATTAAAACAGATCTGAGAAGCTTGAAAACAATGTTAATTATACTGTTCTATATACCATTTTGTTTGGAAAATCATGGGCTTCAATATTATACATAGAACATAAGGAATGGTTGTTTCAAAAAAATTCTTAGGTAAAAAACAAATATTTTTGAAAATTTTCAAAAAAAAATAAGTTTGCGCTCAATGAAATTGTATAAATTATAGGCCTATAAATATTTGAATAGTCACTTTGTTCTAAATTTTATGAGGATTACAAATATATAATAATATAAGGAAGTAGATTTGCAAATAAATAAGTTATGGGCAAAAAACAGATTTCAGTACATAGCGTTTAGCTAAGAATGCATAGCCTAACCATAGCTAGGAATCTGGCTGATAATTTACATCAATATCATTTATAGGTAGTATTTACTACCTACTTCTTCAGGATCATCAACCAGCCCTTCAAAATCACTTAAATCTTCTTATAATGCACCACGTATATCACTACTTTTGATTTTTAACACTAATTTCTATTGTACTTGATGAATAAAGATAATTTGAATTGAATTGAATTAAAACAATGATAAACGTAATAAAACACATCAGTCATCGGTCAAGCTAACCAACGGTAAACCAAGCTGTTTACAAATACGCACGTCAGCTGTCTGCTACAATATTTTCGGAACTAAAATGAATAGCGCTTAGAGACAGACCTCCGGAGAAAGCTCTGAATCTGTCAAATAAAACGATACCTAACTCGATCCAATTCAATCCGATTTTGTCAGTCATAGAGCCTTTGCCGTAAACAGTGTTTGTGAGTCGCTGCAGCGACACAAAACACTACACAAAGTGTGTTATGTGTCGCTGCAGCGACAAATAACACTCGGAGGGTTAATCATTCTGCCAATTTGCTTAAAATACTCTTACAAAATTCAGATTTCCCTTTATTATATCCACAAAGAAAATTCAATTTTTAACATAACTAGCTTTTACTCATGGGCATCACCCCCCGTTTTACTTCATAAGTACTAATAAAACTATTGATTGGTTAAGTAAAGCAGAAATAAACAAAACAGTATATAGTAATACAAACAAATAATCACACCTGATTTTAATAAGGCAATAAATTGAAAGAATAAGAAATAAATAAGTGAAATAAGTACAGCTGAAGCTGAGGTATTTTTAACATTAGTTATGGAAAGTTCCCTTTAGAATGGAATTTACCTTAAAGGGCAATTTATGAAATAATGGATAGTTTTGCGCAAGGTTTCTCGTCGTGATGAACATTTTAAGTATATGGTTTATGGGTAATTTAGGATTTATACTAGCTGTGTGCCCGTTCTACGCACGGGGATCTTATAGTAGTCAGTTGAAACCTTCTTATATTAAGATTAAGAGCAGCAATTAGTTTGCATATTTGCAGATATGCTGGCAAAACTATTATATATAAACCTTCGCAAATACAGTATCTGACAGTTCAAGCCAAAATAAATGCTTCGCAATTAAATGTCGCCCGGATCGTGTTGGTCCATATGTCCAATGATTAAACTTAAAAATGTTTTATAGATCCATGAAGCGTAGCCCTAAAGTAGGCCTATAATTGAAAGTTACTTTCCACATCGGTTAACTTAAACGTATTTAAAGTACTACCTCAACCTCACCATTTAACACTTTATTCCGGTTGACATTTTCAGTATCAAAGGTGCTCTTGTCCATTCCGTGAAACACTGAGAAATAAGGACATTAATGCGTTACCAACATACAACAAAACAACACAATACAACAATCCAACAAAGGCCACGAACTATTGATACATAAACAATATAAAGGCGTAAACAATTCATGATGGTTTGCCCAACAAATGTTTTACTCAAATAGGTTATCATTTTCTTAGCATACCGGGTAAGCTAAGATTTGGAATCCAGGCAGAAAAAGCAAAACTTATACAGAGTTAAGACATCACTTAAATTGAATACGGACGGCTCTAATAAATAAGGTGCAACACCAACGATATCTAATTTGTAAACTAACGGTTCTAAGGAAAAGAACCAGTACCTACGTAAGAACCTACCTAAGAATTACAGTAGGCCTAAATCGAACCAATTAAATACATTAATAACTAGCTTCGAGGTTATTGATCTCTTGCTTTTGGATTTTCTCGTAAAAAGTTATAGCGTAAACTTATCGGTGTCAGTTTGAAAAAAAGCAACCTTACCCAAACAACTTTTTGTTATTTAATAGATTACGCATTCTCTAAACAATGATTAGTATATCTATTAACATTAGAAGGAAATGTGACGAAAATCACACAATGTTGGGGTTTTGGTCATTTGTAATTATATTTCTTAAGTAGGTAGGCCATGTATTCTAGGGAAAAGTACCGGTATCAAGGATCGTCGTCAAAAAGGTTGTTATGAATAAATATGTAGGCTTACGTACCCAAGATATGAGCTATGGGCCTATTGGCTGTACGGTCCAGCTATTGCATCACACGGTGAGTAGAAACAGAAAGTGACACATTGGAAAAGCGAGTTTAGCACTTCCTCTGTAAAACCTCTGTTACAATCACCCACTGCAGTTGTGATTTTTTACTTTACACTTTACACAATCGCCATTGAAGCGCCGTCAATGAGTGGAAACCTTTTTTGTAAGCTATTGGCGACGATCATTTCAGTGTCACAGCCCTATACAACACTGATTCAAGGTCTTCTTTCTGGTTGTCAAAACTCAAGAAACATTTTATACTCAAAGAATTTCTGGTTCCGATTTGGACGATGTCTAGTTATTTACTATTAGACTATATTATTGCACTTGCGATTAATTAAATCCGTTATGTAAGAAAAACGTTTTTCATCTCACTTGGTTGGGATTTGCTTTCAAAACGTGATTCGAAATAGTTGCGGTATTTGTAAACAGCATTTGTAAACATGTCATTGACAGCTAGAAAAAATAATCTTGATCCGAACAGCTGTTCGTTATTTCATAGACGATTCTGTGATAAAAATTGAACGAAAATTTGACAAAAATCGCACAAAACTGCATTTTTGAACGTCCGTAATTTTATTTACAAAGTAGTGAGGCTATATTTAAATCACTAAAGACACTCTCGCCAATCCAGTGAATACATTAAAATGGCTTGGATCTTGATATGTACTCTGGTTTTCACGGAGAAGATTGCGTAAAATGCCATCTTGAGTGTTACAGACAAAGGGACAGACAGACAGACAGACAGACAGACAGAAATTGAGATAAGACTCGTTTCTGCTTCTTTAATGTATAAAACGTAAAAATAACCTAAAAGTATATAATTATGAGCAATGTACAGACAAAACTCTAATTTTATTTATATAGATATGGATTCAAAACAGTGTTAACTTCACTAATATCCCTTAATCATCAGTTTCTGACAAAATAACTTTTTCGGTTTTTTTCCCCGCGGTTCAGTTCCACAATAAACTGTCAAGTTACACTCATCACATTGAGATTACAACACAATGGATTACTCCATATGAACAAACTAATACTCGAAATAGCATTATATTCATTTACTACTGTTATCAATATGAGTTAAGTGATTAGATTGGGACAGCGAGGTGTCACTTATCAGTCCGCTACTGACTACTGACAGTGACAGTCCGACGGAGGTTTGAGTGCTTCTTATCAGGCCACAGCAAGGTCACCTGTCTCGTTATGTCCTCCCTTTGATTATGTTTGGTTTACAGTCAAGTCATGATTTCGGGTTTATTCATCTTGTGCCTAGTGTCATGTAAGTTTTAAGCCATGGTAAAAAAAATTTTGAAATTGTAGCAGTTAGGGATATTGTTGAGTTTTTCTGTATAGTGAAATGTAAAAAGATTTGCATAATGGTTCTAATTTGTTTTTAAGATTACTTATTTATTGATTATTGTATGTAGCTTATTGTATTTTTGTATAGTTAGATGTGGATTTTATGTTGAATGGTTTGAACGTTAGAGGATTCAATGTGAACATTGTAAAGTTTCAGGATGTGAAGAGCACAAGGGTCTAGGTTTTAAGGATTTTTTTAATATAGCTGGCTTACCTGAATTAGAAGGAGTTTACTGTGACACAATAAACATCAAAGAACTTAATAATGTATACAAAAAATATGATATTTCACTCTCACTGACAACATTTTCAACAAAGGTTTGAGCAGGAAGAGCGCTCAAACTCCTCTCCTAAGTCTCTCTTCCTAATAAAGATTTTCAGCTTTTGTATCTTATTTATGTTTATTGTGCTGGAGGTCTCTATATGATTCCGATAAGTCTACTATTTAAAAAATCTAAATTGTTGTTTAATATTTCAAGTCTTTACAAACATTATTTAACAATGATACTTATAGATGTAATGGTTGAACCAGTGTTATTAACAAGTATTCATGGATATTTGTAAATCAGCAATAATAAGTTTGTTAATTATGAACAAAACAGTCACTGAATATGCTAAAACACACTGATAAGACATAGTTTAAAGAACTCTTATAATATAACTACTTTATAGAACCTTTCTAAATGTTTGGTATTGTACTGGTAGGTTACCAAGGAGCGCTGTGTGAGGAAGATGTCAACGAGTGTGCGCTGCTGCCGTGCGGACCTGACGGGACTTGTGAGAACACACCCGGCAGCTTCCTGTGTCACTGCAACAACAACGCTTGTGGCGTCTACTGCAATGCCACCAACCCTTGTGTGAGTTCATTTAACACAAACAGCATTAATGCATTCTACACTTTGATACAATTTCACAAGTATGTATAGTTGAGGTATTTCTAGAGCTTTGGTCCCACTTTAGCGCATCGCTACACTGTTTCTCGAGTCAGTTACCGTCTCTTGCCTTAAATGTGGTTTATACTGCTATCCTTGATGAATAGGTGAACTAGTAAACATGATTGTACTCTATTTTTTCAAAACATTGCTTCAGTGATTTTATTCACATTTGATTTTTTTTTTACCATAAATGTATGTGTGTTATTAAAATGTTTAATTCCAATACAGTACAATCCCGGGGAGCGAGCTGGCGTAGTGGTTAGAGCGCGGGACTCCAGTCCCTGTGGTCCCGGGTCCGCCGCCAAGTCACCAATGGATTTTATCTAAGTGATAATGCCGCAACCCCTAGGTCTAGCCTGAAGTAATGTGAAAAACAATCCCAGGCTCGTGCCTAGCGTCCTAGGACAAAAAAATATAAATAAAAATACAGTACAATTCCGCTAATCCGTCACCTACGGGACCAGGACCATGTTTGGAACAGAGATAAGGTTGGATTATCCGAGTAGCATATTGAATGAGCAAATTAATTGCTTGGCGGATAATTATTGAAAAAAATATGTATAGAACTATAAAGTAAATGTAATGATGAATGTGGTAGACATGAAGACAATGATTGTGTCCCTGTAACCGCAGGAGACGGTCAATATTTTGCCCCAATTGTGCAGGAGACAAAGATGGACAATGTTTCCTCCTTTATTAAAAAGCTATTAACACAATTGGTTAAAATCGGTCTGATATTGTTTGTTTTTTTTTACAGTTATACGCTCCGTGCCAGAATGAGGGCAGCTGCAAGCAAACATGTGTTCTCGCTGCCAGCTACGAGTGCATGTGTCCACCAGGCTTTGGGGGTGTTAACTGTACTGAGGTAACATATGTTCAGAGCTACCAACTACACTTTAAATAACTTAAGGATTATAAATTTTAACAAACAAATTGTAATCATTTTTCATATGTAGTCTCCTGATTACCAAAATGTACAGTACTTACTATTACCTATATTGTTGATGTTTTTTATTAGTCCTATCCAAATTTATTTTACTGTACTACTAACACAGGACCACTTGACAGAAAAATGTTATTTAAGCTATTTTACTGTAGTTTAATTCATCCCAGATGTTTAAAGCACCATAGCATTTAGTTAAGATTATTAACTAAATATTTTTATCTGTTTCAGCCGTCCAGGTTTGGAGCCAGCAATGTAGCGGACATTGCATTGATCGTCGGCCCCGTCGTGGCCATTCTGCTGATCGCTGCTGGCATCAGTCTCTCTGTGTTCCTCATGATGGCCCGCAAGAAGCGAGCGACGCGCGGCACCTACAGCCCTTCCAGTCAGGAGTACTGCAACCCTCGTGTCGAACTAGACAATGTCATGAAACCTCCACCTGAGGAGCGACTTATATAACCTCAGTTGCGCCATCTCAGGCCCCCTCGACATGTACCACACTTTGCCCAGCTCACGTTATATCTCATTCGATAGGTTTTTATCTAGTTCTAAGTCTTGTAATTTTAGCATTTTTTACTATTTTTGTACATATTTTTATCTTCATAGCTGACAATTTGTATTTAATTACTGTTCCAATGTGTTACAGATTAAGGTATTTTGTCTTGTGAGATAACATTTATTTTTTAATTGTTTTATTGCTGCGCATGCTATATGCTTCGTAAACTGCATGAAAAATGGGTTTAAAAAAAGTTTTAACTATTAATTTTAAATTATATTTCGTAATAATAGAGATGTTCACTTATAGGGGTTCCAAACAAATTTTGTTTTCTGTTAATATTTATTTTAGTTGTTATGTCGAGGAATCTATTAAATCGTCAGTCGTGATTCTAAAGCTCACTCGGCTTATTTGACTTAATGTGGTACTTAAATGTAATTTAGGGCGTACTGGAGATTCACTGGAGATTTTTGATAGTGACAAGTACTTAACTCTAAGACAGGCTGTGATACTCTGGTTCAGTGTCGGGGCCCGGCGTTGTACAGTGTACAGTAGTTAGTTGTAAATATACGGGTAGACTAGAATCCCACGCAATCAAACACCCAAGTGTCAAATACTTTTGATATTATACTCCTGTGTGACTGAGTTATTTTTTTATTTTGTTTAGTTTTGTACACTGTTGGATGAATGATACTTATCAATTATTTTTTATGAAGGCAGTATTAAAGACAGAATTTGATATTTTGTGTGTAACGACTTGTCGAATTGTTGCTGGGAAACGAAGCATTCACTAAACGTTGAGTTAGGTTCCTTTATGTCATTGTGGTATTCACTATTCCGTCCAATTGTACTGTTGCCTTATGTTGACTTTAATTGTAAGACTTAGTAATAAAGACAATATTAGTAATTAAGTAAATACAAGTAATTAGTGTTAGTGGAAACATCACTTAATTCACCTAATTGTGGAGATGTATCCTACATTCCACTGTAACTTTTCTAAAATATTTGTAGTAGATAATTGAGGATACACATCAATACATTCCTATTCTAAAATGCATTATAGGTATAAAACAAGTGCTCAATTATATAATTTTTATTTTTTTCCCACTTCCATGCACTTGAGCATAGTTAGTAACAAATTATGTGCAATTGTCAACGATTATTGTAAAAATTTATAACAAAATAATTGGAATATTTTTTTATAATCTTTTATTTAAAGGGGTTTTCACTATTAGGCCTAAACTTGACTAGAAAAAACTTTGAAATCGTTCCTCAGATGTGACGTATTTATAGATATTTTGTCAGTGGTTTAAACAATCACCTGAACCAAGTCCCCAATTGTTAACAATTTCAAGTACTAATAGCCTGTATTTATTTTCAATTTCCTGACAAATTTACACCTTCAATTTCATTTCAATTAATGATTATTTAAAAAGTAGTCCAAAGCTATTTTCATGAGATATAAAGGATACATTTATATGACATTAGAAATCTTTTATAAACTTAATTGTTTATATGCACTTAGATCACATTTTTTTTAAGTTATTGACTAGTTCTATATTTTTAATGCTACAATTTTTAAATATAATTAAATATGTACAGTGTGAAATATATTCCAGTTTAATCCTTGTAAAGTTCTGTGAAATTATAGAAAATAAGACATTCCGTTACCATCCTTATGCACTGCAACTTTTAACTGCTATTTTACAAAATCTTGTATTAAAAGCCTACAACTAGTACTTAAAGCGCATTTTAATGTTTGAAAAACTTTTAATCATTAAGATAAAAAATATTTTAATATTTATGAATTTCATATTGAATTGTAAAATTTACAGAAATTTATATAAATAAATACGATTATTTGTCATTTGGTGATTTTTTTACCTCCCCAATGCACAATAGAAACACCAGGAATGGTTTGAGTTTTGAAATAGATTAAGCTACAGAGTAGCCTAAGATATGCTCTTGCCTTGCGTGTTATAGTTATTTTTAATTAATTAAATTATTATTGTTACCTTACAATATCCGTTTGGTGTTGGTAGATAGACAACTACATGTTTCGTGGCGACTGCCACATCCTCAGGTTATCCTCTTCTCAGATTCGTCATCAATTTAAAAACATAAAACACTGAACACATGTAGAAAAACACATTACATTAAACATTTATTTTGATACCGTCACGGTGCGTGCACGCGTTTGGTCGGGCCGGCGGCGTTTGGTCGCAAAAATAAATGTAATGTACAATATAAAATGTTTAATGTAATGTGTTTTTCTACATGTGTTCAGTGTTTTATGTTTTTAAATTGATGACGAATCTGAGAAGAGGATAACCTGAGGATGTGGCAGTCGCCACGAAACATGTAGTTGTCTATCTACCAACACCAAACGGATATTGTAAGGTAACAATAATAATTTAATTAATATAAAGCAATATCCAGAAGTAGGACAATGAATTCTTATTTTTAATGTTTTCCTTATGGGTGTATTGTCAAGTGAAATTGTAGTTACTAGTTCTAGTGACTGTAACTCTGATAAATCAATTAATTAATCAATTATGCTTTTATAAACAAGTGAAAAATGTAATCACAACTAAGGAAAAATGCAAGATGGACTCAATATTTTAGATAAGGCTGAATCGGAGCAAAGCGTTATTAGAAGGTTTAATGTAGGAATAGATCAGTTTCAACTAAACAAACAATAAGGAAGTTGAAGAGCTGATAAAACCCCTATATAAAACTAAAAATCTTCAATCTTCAAAATCTACCCGACTGTATACGTGTGTAAATATTTTTGTAAATGCATAGACTATTTATAGTGTTAGGTTTTAAGAAGATAGCGAAGACCCCTGATGATGCCAGAAACAAAGCTTGCGAAAAACATAAGGTAACACAAACATCTCACCTACTCTAGAACTATAGGTTACAACAACCAAGGTAATCTAATAAAATATAATTATTCAAGTTCTTGAAACTGGGATGGAAAATGAAGTCCTTATATTAGTAATGTAAAACTATTTATAAAAATTCTAATGATACTGTACCAAATTCAAGAAAACCAGTTTATAAATAAGGGAGTAAAATAATTTTTTCTATCACTATTCACTGCATGGAAATGATCACGTTGCCACACCCAAATAGTACTAGTAGGCCTACGCAAAATGATTCATTCCCGCGTTGCCGCTCGCGTGCACCGTTGGTCTGGTACAGAGTTGGCTTTTCTATATATAAAACCCTAAAATCGTAATAAAACTACTAGTGGGGTCGTATAGCTGCATATAGTGGCAGAATATTTCAGTTCTGGCGGAGAGGCTGCAATTTTAGGTGGTTATAACAAGTTTTTGAACCTAAAGCCGCCCAGACCCCAATTTTTAAGGACCTCGGTCGTCCGTAATGACGTCATCAAAATGGCGGCCGTAAGAGGATGCTGGGTCCCCATGAATTGGCTATAGCGACCGAATGCCTGAACCGATTTTCATGAACTTTGGCACACAAGTGCTTGAATACATTATCTCGGCCTGGGTTGAAAATGGTCAAGTTTCATGAAGTCATTTCAAAATGGCGGCTATTTAAAACTAAAAAATATGAGGAAAATAATTGTGAATTGTTTTATACAGGTTGAGTTTTAAATGAGTTCCCACCCTACTTTTTTATACATTTCTTAAGATATCAACTCCAAACCACGTCAGATCATTGTAGAGTAGCAAGTACTTCATTTTGACTGGGTTTAAATTTTTGGCCGCCATCTTGGATCCACCATATTGGATACAAAGTTATTTTTTCAAATGTAAAGGTAGGGTTGTGACCCACCGTTTCAAACAAGACTATTACGCTTTATACGATGCTGCAATCCATTTAAAAAAATGTTGATCCATTCTAAAGTTATGAGACTTTTTATAACTTTGCTTTTAGTCCATTATAACATTGTGCATTTACAAACTAAGGCCATAATCTCAAAATAGTGCTAGATAAAGATAAGTGGACATCACCATTCATTGTTGACCTATTTTCACTCAGTTATGACGGATGTATTTTTTTCAGCCGCCATCTTGGATCCACTATTTTGAAATGTGATAGATTATTCTATCCGTTTTTCGTTATCAAGCTTTCTTGATAAAATATTACAATTTTATTATTATTTAAAATGTCAATATTTCAAAAACCAAATATGACAATTAAAAACGGATTGCGGCATTGAATTCAGCATAAAAAAGTAGTTCAAAATGCTGGGTCACAACACCACCTTCATATTTAAAATAATTTATCACATTTCAAAATGGCGGATCCAAGATGGCGGCTGAAAAAAATACATCCGTCATAACCGAGTGAGAATAAGTCAACAATGAATGGTGATGTCCACTTATCTTTATCTAGCACTATTTTGAGATTATGGCCTTAGTTTGTAAATACACAATGTTATAATGGACTAAAAATAAAGTTATAAAAAGTTCTCATAACTTTAGAATGGATCAACATTTTATAAAACGGATTGCAGCATCGTATTCAGCGTAAAAGTTTTGGTTGAAACGGTGGGTCACAACCCTATCTTTATATTTGAAAAAATAACTTTGTATCCAATTGGCGGATCCAAGATGGCGGCCAAAAATGTAAACCCAGTCAAAATGAAGTACTTGCTACTCTACAAATGATCTGATGTGGTTCGGAGTTGATATCTTAAGAAATGTATAAATAAGTAGGGTGGGAACTCATTTAAAACTCAACCTGTATAAAACAATTCACAATTATTTTCCACATATTTTTTTAAGTTTTGAATAGCCACCATTTTGAAATGACTTGATGAAACTTTACCATTTTCAACCCAGGCCGAGATAATGTATTCAAGCACTTGTGGGCCAAATTTCATGAAAATCGGTTCAGGCATTCGGTCGCTATAGCCAATTCATGGGGACCCAGCATCCTCTTGTGGCCGCCATTTTGATGACGTCATTACGGACGACGGAGGTCCTTAAAAATTGGGGTCTGGGCGGTTTTAGGTTCAGAAACTTGTATACCATAACCACCTAAAATTACAGCCTCTCCGCCAGAACTGAAATATTTTCCTGCTACCCAACCTGACTATACTACCTAAATTACATTTACATTTCATATATGACTAATGAGTTCATCTCTATGTTG